CCCGCCAAGCCAGGATCTTTCAGGCCCTCGCCGCCGAATCTGACAAGGACGGATTTTTTTTTTTCTCCCCCCCCCCAGCCCCTCCGATGCACTCGTGCTCCCTCCCCCCTCCCCCAGCCCCTCCGATGCACTTCCCCACCTTCCCCTCCCGACCCGCAGTTCCGCCACCCCGTCCGGCTCCCCTTCCTCAACATGCTGCTGTATGCCGGCTACAGCCGCGGCAGCGGCAAGTACCTCATCTACACGAACATCGACATCGGCCTCCAGCCGCCCTTCTACCTCAAGCTCGCCCGCCAGATGCAGGCCGAGATGGGCCGGCATCACCCGAGATGAGCCGAGATGAGACGAGATGAGCCGAGATGAGCCGAGCGGAGCCTCACTGAGCCGAGCGGAGCCGAGCGGAGCCGAGAGGAGTCGAAGCCTGCACCCCTCCGGGCAGGTGATGCCGGGCGTGCCAATCTCGTCCATCCGCGAGGAGTTTGAGCATGTCGAGCCCGGTCCGCCCCCCCCCCCCCCACCACCACCACCACCACCGCCACCACCACCACACCCCACACCCCACACACACCCCAGTCGCCAGTCGCCAATGCATGCTTGCCCTGCGCGCCCCTTCGCTAGCCCAGCCGTCCGGCACCGTGCGGCACCGCCATCGGCGCTAGCACCGCGGTCCCGTCTCACCGCTGCCGCTGCGCCCTCCTCGCCCCGTCGCAGCCTTCGGCGTCGAGCACGCGATCGCCCGCCGCGGCACCGGGCTGCAGCACCCGGGGCACGACTGCTGGGCCTTCCCGCGAGAGTGGGTGGCCGCGGCTGGTGCTCGGCTCGCGCGACTTCTCCTGAGCCGTCTCCGAGCCTCGCTCTTTCCCCTTCCTTTAGGTCCCGCGGTTGATCCTCGGCTTCACCCTCGTCGGCGTCTCGATGGTGGCCACCTCGCTGATGCAGGCGCACCACGGCCCCGCCGGGGCGCCGCGTTCCGCTCGCCCTCCCCCGACGCCTCTCGGAGCGTCGCTGCCCGCCAGGCGCTGCACGCGCTGTCGGGCTGCCGCATGTCCCTCCTCTCGCCAAAGCTCACCTTTCACTTTGTGGACGGCGACTCTGTCGTCAAGCACCCCTCCAACCAGCGCGCGCGCAACGACAAGATCTTCACCGGCCTCTACACCGCGTGGAACTGCGCGCAGTTCGCGCGCGACCGGCGCGACGTGCTCGAGGTCTACCCGGAGTACAACCAGTGCTGGTTCTCGCAGCAGGCGCGGACGGACCGGTCTCGCCCGCCGCCGCTCTGCGAGTATGCTCACGGCCCTCTGCCTGCCCGCACCTGCTCGCCCGCAGGCCGAGTGGAACCTGTACTCGTACCAGTGCGGCACCACGATCGAGCACCTGCCGCACGAGTTCAAGCTGCTCTGGCAGTCGGCGCACAACCGCACCATCCGCCCCGCGCACGGCGACTGCAACTTGCCGTCCACGTGCGCAAAGTGCCGCGGCCGCGACGGCGCCGCGAGGCCGGGCGCGGACATGATGGCGCCCGCCCCGTGCGCTTTCTGCCGCTGCAGGGGAGACCTGCCGACGCCGCCGTATATCACGCCGCCGAAGCAAGTGGCGCGCCCAGCGACCGCAGGCGCAGCCGCCGGCCACCGCGCGGCCGGCAACCACAGCGTGCGAAAGGGCGCGCCAGCGCTGAGTGCAGTCGTCAGATGAGAGGTTAGCTCAATTTAGATTCCCATTCAGATTTGAAGAGTTCAGACTTTGAGATTAGAGGTGGGGTGTGTGTTGATGCCTTATGATGTATACACGTGTACGTCAGTATGTAGCTACTGGCACAGAGAGCTTACGCGACTGACCGAACGCCTCTCACGCCCGGAGACCCTGCGCGCCGCGCGGGTTGTTGCACGGATTTAAATGGGCCAAAAGGCAAAAGCGTCGAAAATATGGTCGCTCCTCATCGCAAACCCTGTCAGCAGAGTCCTCCTACGGGAGTGTACGTAAGAGCTACATACACTGAGAGAGAGAGAGACACTGAAAATGTCCCAAAACGTGGGCTTGGCGGTCCCCTTGGGCTTGGGCTTGAGCGGCTTGCGCGGAGGCTGCTTCATGGGCGGAGCGGGCTTGAAAGGGAGAGTGCACCACTGCCAGGAGCGGCCCTCTCGAAGGCAGTAGGGCCGTGGCGCGGGCGTGTGGGCCGGACTAAAGGGACGGCACTCGGCGGCGTGCGGGATGGCGAACGGTGCCCGACGCAGCTGCGCGAGCGCCTGCGGCACGTACTCAGGCTTGCGGATGTGGTGAGCAATGAGCGGCGCACCACTAACGGTCCAGTTGAAGCGGCGAAGTCCCGACTGGCATCCGGACTTGCCCCCGCCGCAGGGAAAGTCCTCGATGAGGCCAGGAGGCAATGCGAGGATTGTCAAATTGCTAACGCCGCCCACGCCACCGGCGCTGTGACCGCCGACGCCACCGCCATCTCCCACACAGAACGCATGGCCGAGGAACACATCGTCGAAGATGCGCACGTCGAGATCACCTGGCTCCGAGAGCGGTAGGAAGTGGCCACGGGCACGCGCCTCTGCTAGACTCAAATCCTTTCCTCCGTCCGTGTCGTCGCCGTGGCCACGCGTGCGGTTGAGGCGCGAGTCAAGCGCCGCACTCACGGCCTTGGCGACAGCAGCCGAACGCGTGTACCAGCGCGCAAGTGGTTTCGACAGCATGAGCAGCGGACCCGCAGCGAATGGAAACGGGCCAGCGCAGCGCGGTGACGGTTCGGCGGTGCAGTGCTTCGGATTCTCGTGGACGGCTCGTCGGTGGGCTCCGTGGGGCCCCATACCCCAGCCCCACGGGCGGAAGGCAAGCTCGTCCCAGTGGTACCACTGCATCGAGCCCGCGTAGACGTGCTGCTCGCCAACACCTCCGTGCTGCGCCTGGCGTTCTGATTCGGCAGCCAGCATTGCCAGCAGCCAGCTCGGGCTCGGCACCGCGTCGGAGTCTGCGCGGCCCACAAAAGTGGCGTGAGGGTAACGAGCAACCGCATGTCGCAGCCACGCGTCGAACAGGGATATGATGACGACACCGGCCCCCGAGCGCTGCCCGAGGCAGTCCAGGAAGTCGATATCGGGCTCAGCCGCTGTGACCTGTGCCGGCCACTGCGCCGACGCGCGGTCTCTCAACGAGATGGCAAAGCGAGCGAGCACAGCTGGCGACACGGCTTCCGTCCATCCGCGCAGCGAACTGCGCAACTTTGCATTGTCAGGCCCAATGATGCCGATCACTGCAAAACCAGCGGGTGGACGCACACTGACAGCTGCTGCCGCCGCCGCCGCCGCTGCTGACATCGGCGCGGCCGCATCGCAAGAGGGCGCCCGAACTCAAGAGTATGTAGTTTGTGGCAGCTCCGCAGCCAGCGCTGGCTGCCAGCGCAGGACGCACCGCTCGCGCGTTCGGCGCACTCCCTGGCACCCAGGGAGTGCGCCGAATCGATCAGACCGATTAGGCTCGACGCCGCGCTCGCTGTGGAGCTGCCACAAAGTCGCCGCCGAGCGTGCCACCGAAGGCGTCCCGTCGGAGGTGATGGAGTTTGAGACCTGAGAGGCTGCGGAGGTGACGCCTGAGGTACCGGCCCGTGCACAGCGACTCAGCCGGCGACCGCCACGGGCTCAGACGAGACTTGTCGACGCGTTCCGGCTCAGCTTCACCGTGGTCATCGGGCGTCTGTCGACGTCAGGACCACCCATACAGCTCGCGGGTTTGAGGTCGCAAGAGCCAAGATGGTGGCGTTTTTGGACATCCCAGCCATCACACAAGACAGCCTGTAGGTGATGGCGGGACGGCGCAGTGTTTGTGGCACTCGGCAGTAGGCACCGACGGCACGGCCCCGCTGTCGGCTCTCGCGGGCTGCGGAACCGGCCCCAGAAGGGGGCGGTCCGGGCGAGTGTGGCAGCTCCTGCGCTAGTATGGGCACCCGCTATCACAACACTACTGAAGTACTGATCCTGGTCATTAGAGCTGCCAGGGATAGCGTCAGGAGCCGGTAGGAGTCAAAACCCCTCATATTTGAGACATCGTGTCCCATATAGGAAGATGTGGCCGGCTCGTGGGAAGGCAGCCCCCGTGGGAACGCCACCCCCCATTAGAGGGGCACGCCACCTGGCTCACCCCCGCTCCTAATTGCGCACGGGAGCGGTGCACCGGAGCGGTGCGCAGGAGCGATTCTAAGATCAGGTCTGCCACCTCCCCGCTGGAAACGAAAATCTAAGTTACAAATCTCGAATAAATCTCGAAGCACACTTGAATGCTCACTTGGCAGGTAACATATGCGCCACGCGCCCCAACCGCTCCTCTGGTCGCCGCCGGCCTCCGCGGCGGCGGCGATGTCCCAGCGCCACCCATCGGCCAGCCCTCAGATCGATCGATCGGCGCTCAAAGTCGGCTTCAGATCCGAGAACGCTGCTGGCGCCGCCGCCGATCCCAGCGGCGACGCCAGCAGCTTCCTCTGCTCTCCAATGCGCCGAGAAGCGACGCGGGGGTGCTCAGCCCGCCATGCACGACGAAGGCTCCGCCGGGCGCGCGTCGGCCGGTCCGGTGGCACCCTCTGCGCGCGGCACCTGCCGGCGCCCCGACGACAGCCGTCGCGCCACCGCTGATGGAGGGGCGGTCGGCGCCGCTGCCGCCGCGCTGCCGGTGGGAGGGGCACTGGTGGTGGCCTGGGCGGCCCTCCGCCGCCGCTCGGGGCGCCCGGGCAGCGGTGGCAGCCTGCCGCCGCACCACTTCGAAATGCCCGCTGACCACTTCGAAATGCCCGCTCCGGCAGGAGGCGTTTATTTTTGCTTGGGGCGGACATCATGATGAAATTCTGGAAAAACCTGACCGGCCCCTGCCCTGCCCCTACCTACCTACCTACCTACCTACCTTACTTATGGGAAACTAAAAAAGAAATCACGGGCTGGGTGAAGGTGGGGTACTATACCAACTAAAGTGATGGCTGGTGGTACTATCCTGCAACCACAGTCCTTCCTGTGACATGGCAGGCCACTCTCAAGCCCTACAAGCACCAGATCAACGACTTGGGGAGGGTTGACATCGTGATTTGGACGGAAAAATTCTTTTTCTGCTGTGAAAATTCCGGCGTGAGAGAGGGAAAAACCCGACGGGAGGGCCCAGACCCTACCCTACCTACCCCGTCATGATGTCCGCCCCAAGCAAAAATAATATACACCTGGCTCCGGCGGCCCGCGATCGGCGCTATTCTTTTTTCTACAAGCAAAATTCGAGCCAATTGAGGAAACTGAAGCGGGCAGGCTGGAAGCACTGAGGGACGGCCGATTTTCGCCCAGTGGCAGGCCTGATCTTAAAATCGCTCGCAGTTTCATATGAACTGCACCGCTCCGAGTCGGGGGTGGTGCCAGTTCATATGAGGGGGCGTGCGTGGGGGCGTGCCCCCCGAGCACCGCCCCCGATCGGGAGTGGTGCAGTTTCATAAGCGGGGGTGGTGCACGGGGGCGTGCCCCCGGAGCACCGCTCCGGTGTCGGGAGGGGGCCGGGGTGGCGTTCCCACGGGGGCTGCCTTCCCACGAGCCGGCCACATCTTCCTACTCGCAACAACCCCCGCGCGCTATAAGAAGTGCCTCCGAGACTCGAAGCGGCTTGCCTTGGGCTCATCAGCGTCCGGCTGTCCGAGGCCACTTCTTCAGGCTGGGAACCGAGGGGTGGCCACCCTCCTCGTCGAGGTGTGCGCCAAACCACTTCGGCGGCGCGCGCTCCCCTGTGCGTCTGTGTCACCCTCCAGGCCCTCACGCCCCCCCGGCATGTCCACCGGCAAGGAGGCTTCCGTGCCGAGTGACGCGGCGGCCACGGACAGACTCAACGGCAGCGTCGGCGCCGCTGCCAAGCGGCCGCGCGACAGCGAGGGTAGTCACCACTTGAGGTGGGACGGTCGAGGCACACGACGGAGCCATCGCGAGCGGCCTTCTACACCGCCCGCCGCCGGCGCAGGCGCGGAGCGCTACGGCGGACCTGCTTCAAACCCCAAGGCGGAGGCGCTGAGCGAGAATCTGGGCTGCGCGCACGCGCATGGCTGCTGCGAGAGCTCGGAGGCGGAGCTTGCTCGAGAGCTGCTCGAGCTCATCACTGCGCCCGACGCTGACGTTGGTGGCGCGATCAAGCTCTTATTTTCTCAGCCTCGCACCTCTTCTTCCCGTCGCACGCGGGCTGTCGCATGGCACTTGGAATATGACTCGGGCGAGGATGCGTCAGCACGAGTACTATTTCATCGTGCAGCGCAGGCTGGCTCGCCACTACTGTTGGCTGGAGCTCCTCTCCCGCCCGACGTCAGTGATGGCGCATGACACGCGACCACTGTACGCATCGTGCTTCCTGTGTGTGTCTCCCCCCTCCCCGCCGCAGAGCCGCTGCTGGGTGTCGGCCGCGCATCTCCTCACGTCCCGCGCCTGTCCTTTACGGCATTTGTGTGGCCCGTTTTCTGTGCATCGTTAGAAGCTGCGCAGGCCTCCCCGGTTACAATCGCCGCGCGCACACGACACGCGACAGCCGACACCTCGACAGGAGAGAGTTTGACGTTCGGCTTCTCGTGAGACTTGACTTCAGACGATATGCGAGACAGATATATCTCAGAGTGAGAGGACAGCCTGAGCCTCGGAGGAGAGACGCAGCTCGCAGGTACAGGCGTGACAGACAGTACACTCTCACACACGAGACACACTGATGGAAAGGGCGGAGCGGCGGCGGCGACGGCGGCAGCGGTGCGCGGGCGGAGCAGCGACTGCCCGGGCGGTCGCTGCTCCGTCGGTCCGTGCCGGAGCGCGCATCTGCGCAGGGTCGCGCGTCAGGCCAGGGGGCAAGGCGCAAGCGTCCCCCTGGTGGCGGCGCAGGGAAACGCGGAGACGCGAGCGTTTCGCACGCCGCGAAGCGGACGGTGACGGCGCGGTGGGTGACGGGGCTAGAGAGCAGCCAACACCCGACGCTCGCAAACGACGTCGGTGCTGGACGCCTGCGTAGGGGCCGCGGCAAGGCGGAGCTGGCTGAGGCACCAAGCGCCGGCGGGGAGCTCCCGGACTCATGTGTGCGAGCGCATGCCCTCCCACCTAATCACCGCTGCATAGTATGGCTTCCGAGGCTGAACCGCTCCGCAACGGTTGGTAGCTCGACCTGCACATTGACAAAGTGCGTTTACCTGTCAGTCGTCGACGTCGCGTGCGAGATCCAATATCGCCGATCGATAGCAATCTGAGAGGATAGGGATCCGTGTCAGCATGCCGTAGCCGAGGAGTGCCGCGCTTGGGGGTTGGGGCGCGCGCGCATTGGCTTCACATTCGGTCTCAGCGCTCGGGCCGGCGCCGGGGGTCATGGGGCGACACTCGGTCACGCTCCGGCGCTTCGGGGGGGCTACAGCGGGCAGTGCGCGAAACCACTTCGCATGGCCACCCGCGACCCCACTTTGGACCGGCGAGCGCACTTGCTCGGTTCCCAGCCTGAAAATGTCACCTCTGTCCGGGGACGACAACACGACAATGGACAAACACATCCTGACTTGGCCAGCTCCACGAAGGCGAGGCTGGTGTCGGTCGGTCGGCGAGCTCGACGTCATGTATGTCTGAGCTTCAGCGCCTTCCGTTGCCGCCGCCTGGGCCGGCCGCAGCATATGTTGTATTCACCTTCTGTTGGAGAGTGTCAAAATCAAACCTACATCCTGACGTAGCCTGCCTGACCGTCCTTGTGCAACCGTCTCATGTTACGTACTTTTAGCTTACTGCGATACAAAATACTGTGAGAAAAGGGAGACGTTGTGTTCTCTAGGCCCCTAAGGGGGCAATTAAGGGCCCTACCTACGCGCGGCGTGAGAGCTCGGAAGCGAGCGACGTCTGCACGTCTCTCTCTCTCCTGTTTGGTTTGTGAGAGAGATTTGTTTTTGTTTGTTTGTTGGTTTGTCCTGCCGACATTGTCATGCTGTTGGGTTTCTCCTGCCGCGCACATTGTCATCGACTTGTATCCGACTTGGTGGTTGTGGTGATGTAGACCCTGTCAGCAGTTCACCTGCGGCGCTTCGGGTAAGTTCGGAACAGCTCACTAAAAAAGAAAAGAAGAATTGCCGAAACACAGCATTCTCGCGGGAAACTCACACAGGCACCGCTTGCACTCCACTCCCTCTCGCGCTCGCCCCGCCGCATCACCGCACAGTTCCCCTCCCCCTGCTTGCACGCCTGAGCGCCGCGATACCTCTTGCTCGCGAAACCCGCCCCTCCCTCACCACTCTCACCGTGCGATGCTCTTCGCTTGCCGGCCCGAGCGGCACCCGCCCCCGTCGGCCCCGCAATGCCTGCCACCTCCCGTTCGCAGGTGCGACCAGTGCCATCGAGGAGCCGCGGGACGCACCCGCTGCCTCGTTCCCCACCCTTGCCCCGCGTGAGCCCGCGCCCGACCGCCCTCCCTCTCTTCGATCCGGCAAGAGAGCGACATAGCAGCCCACTCGCCTGCCAATCGCCGCCCGCCCCACCTCCGCCCACGCCGCCGCCGCCCTCGCCCTCGCCCTCGCCGCCGCCACCGGCTCCGCCACCACCCGCCCCACCTCCGCCCACGCCGCCGCCGCCCTCGACCTCACCCTCGCCGCCGCCACCGGCGCCCTCACCGCCGCCGCCGCCCTCGCCCTCGGCTCCGCCCTCGGCTCCAGTCCGAGCGCCGAGGAGGGGAGAGGAGGGGAGACGAGAGCGTGCCGGGGGCCACGTCGCGACACTAACTCCTTGAAGACCTCCCCGTAGACCTCCCGCCCACCGTGCCTACCCGCCGTTCCGCAGCTCTCACAAACATGGCGCCCAAGAGCAAGACGGCTGGCATTGCGAAGAAGGCGTCGGGCGGCAAGAAGAAGCTTTCGGGATTCATGAAGTTCTCCCAGGAGCGCCGCCCCACCCTCAAGGCGGAGAAGCCCGACCTGACCTTCGGCGAGGTGCGTCCTCCGCCCCTCCCCCCTCCCCGCCCCCCCACCCCCCCCCTCTCCCCCTTACATGATTGCGGCCTTCCCTCCCGCAGCTGGCCAAGGCGATCGGCGCCGAGTGGAAGGCCATGTCGGAGGCGGAGCAGGGCGAGTACAAGAAGTAGGCGTTTTTTCCATTGACGACTCGCCGCGCGCGCCTCCCGAATCAGACGGCAGGCGAGCAACAGGGGCCTCGCGCGGGACCGCGGATTGGTTTCGGCCGACGCGTGACTGTGTTGGGGGTCCGGGCTGGCCTGGACTGCTCTCGCCCTTTCTCTACGACCCCGGTGTACGTACTCTCCGGTGCATGTCCGCGCATAGCTCTCGATAGCTCTACTCGAGTACGTTAGCGAATTATGTGTGTTTCTCGCGCCTTTCCGGCGGCACCGGCACATCCCCGATCCCGAGCCCGAACACGTGAGACGTGTGCCGGCTCAAATTGAGGCCGGGCAGGCGCAACCGCAACGCGCAAGCGGGTCGCGGGGCGGCAAATTCTTTGCGGCTTCAGGGTTTCGGTCCGGTGAGGGGGGCGGGGCAGGGCGGAGCGGGGTGGTGGTTTGGGTCGGGTCGGGGTGGGGCGGGGTTGTGGGGTGCGGGTGGGGATGTCGGGGTTGGGCGTGGTCGAGGGTGTGGGTGGGCGCCGTGGGAGTGGTGTGCCCAACCCCAGGCGTGGTCGCGGAGTGTGGGTGGCGCTGTGGCACGGAGTGGGAGTTGTGTGACTGCTCCTGTGGAGCGACGGCGGTTCTGAAAGCCGTCGCCCGCGCCTCGGCTGAGCACGACTCCCCATGCTGCTCCTCTTCGTTGCTAACGCGTGCACGTTCAGCATGTGGCAGGTCCTTGATGCGCCGCCACAGCACGCTTGGAAGACGATCTTCGGCGCCAGCGGCCAGCGAGGCGAGTACATGGACGGCTACTCCTCCAATGCGATGGAGGAACGGTGCGTCGAGGACTACAAGTGGGCCACCAAGATGGGCCCTCCCTCCTCTCCAGACGCCTCCTTCGCAGCGGAGCGCGCCAGCATGATGTCCTACCTCTACGACAGCGACGAGCTATGGCCGCACACGTGCATGATCGCCTTTGCGGAGCACTACGTCGATGACGACGACCTCCGTCGGCCGTTCCGAACGGTCCAGCGGCGCAAGGCCTTGCAGGCACCGGACATGCCTGTCTTCATCGGGGTGGTGCTGAGCGGCTGGCAGGAGTGCGACGAGGCCGGCATCGAGAGCCAGCTGGCCGCCTTCAGGGACAGGGGAATCGACTATGTGCGGCTCGACTGCAACTTTGGCGCGGCCGACACCATTGGGGGCGCGTCGCAGCTCACGCACGATCCTCGGTTCGGCCGGCTGGCCGCTGCTGCCAAGGCCTGCCAGGAGCAGCAGATGGTGCCGCTAGTGCTGCTTCAGGTGCAGCGAGATTGCTACTAGATTGATTGAGATCACAGCGCGTCCACAGTGATCATCAGCGAGTCCACAGTGAGAGCTCGCAGCGGCCGATCACACAATGTGCTTCGCAGGTGCCGTGGCGAGACGGGGCGGAGGCGTCGAGCGCGTACTTTGCGCAGGCGGTGGGCAGCTTCGCCTCCGCGCTGCGAGGCGCCGGCGTCGAGTCGAAGCGGCTGCTCCTCGAGACGAGGCCGCCCATCGGCCTGTCGGCGCAGGAGGAGAGGGCCCTGCCAGGGACGGCGAGGGCGGCGCTGGGCTTTGAGACCGGCCGCCACATGTTCGACGCCATCGCTGAGGCCTTTGGAGGAGAGACCATCGCCGGCTTTTGCGTGGCCGGCGGCTCGACCAAGGGCGACCTCCCGACGGCGATGGAGGACGACTGCCAGAACGCGGTGCGGCAGGGCATGCGGCAGCGCGCACGGCAGCGGTGGGGCTACGACTTGTGCTATTGGGAGATGGGCGCCAAGCTGATGCTCCAACCCAAGGTGGGGCGGCTCTGGGCGTCGCAGACTCGGGCCGGGCGCGACGCGGCGCGCGAACTCTTTGTCGTCAACGCCGAGGACCTCGCCGACGAGATCTCGGCGGTTACATAGGAGCGCCGCTTTCATTTTATTTTCTGGCGGTCGAAATTCTTCTGAGCCATGGTCTGACAGCCTGACCGCAGCTTGCCTGACAGCAACCCCCGCGGGACATGCAGCGCCTGACACAGCGGTCAGCGCCCGACAGCCTGGCAGAGCGCTGACAGCTCTTTCTCCGACAGCCTGACAGCACGTATCTGACAGCCTGACAGCAGAGTCTGACATCAGAGGTGCTCCGTCGCTGTCAGGCCCCAACGTGACAGCCTGACAGCTGCCCGACAGCCCGACAGCACACAGTGGCCTGACAGCAGCGCTGACAGCCCGACAGCCCGACCAGCCCGACAGCAGCACAGACCGTACACAGGCCGTGCAGCCTCTTTCTTGTGCCCCATGAGGGTATTCTATAACAAAACTATTACATGCAAAGACATGTGAGTGTGGTCCATGCAGTGTCATGGGGTGGTCATGCCTCATGGGTCTCTCTCTCAACCCTCCCGCCCCAACCTCTGCGGACCCGCGGCTGTGCTACAACTACAAATGAAGCTACCAGCTAGCCTTCTGGGGCCCTACAGCCATATGCCTACGGCGTCTGGGTGGGGGTGGCCGCCGCCGTCTGTGCCGCCGCCGCCGGCCCGCCGCCTGCGCCTGCGCCGCCATCTGCGCTCCCCAGGCGGCCGCCGCTGCCGGGGCCGGTGATAACGCTGTAGGAGGGGGGCAGCTGGACTAGAGTATGTGTAGCAGAGTCCTGCTGGTCTCCTCTTGATAGTGTCATAAGTGTGGCTGGTGTGTGTCAGAGCCTGACAGCACCCCGACAGCACCACCTGACAGCTCCTGACAGCACCGGCCTACGTCTGACAGCAGCAGCAGCCTGACAGCTCTGACAGCTCCGACAGCGTCTGACAGCAACACCTGACAGCTCCGACAGCACCCGACAGCTACAGAGCACCTCTGATGTCAGACACGCACCCGACAGCACCCGACAGCACTGACAGCACCTGACAGCTGGTCTGATAGAGGCACCTGACAGTGCCTGACAGTGCCCGACAGCCTGACAGATCACCTGACAGCACCTGACAGCCTGACAGCCAGGGCTCAGAAATTCTTTCTTCCTCGCAGGAGTCGCTTAGGGGTGGTGTGCGTCGTGTCAACCAGCCCATCCCCTCCCGCCCCGCACTCCACGCCGTGTTTCTGTTTGTTACTTTGTTTGTTTCTGTGCGCACTGGCACGAACACACGCCTGGTACCCCGAGAGTTTATCAACGCGCTCTCGTATGAGCTATGACCCCCCTTTCCCTCCCTCCCTCCCTCCCTCCCTCCCTCCCTCCCTCCCCTTGTAGCCGTGGCCAACTCCCGATAAAGGGTGTGGCCGGCACCAACTTGATTCCCAAGGGCTAGATCGGCGTCTCACGCGTCACGGCCGGGCCGCGGGACGTAGAGGGAGGGGGGGTGGATCCGTAAATCCGTAAGTCCGTAAATTTGTAACCAAAAGCCACCAGGGAGCCCCCCACCGCACCCAGCTACCAGGCAGGCAGAGACACAGCACTCGCGACATGCTGAGAAGCCGGGGGCTGGCCTCTCTAATGCTCGCGCAGCGCTGTCTGCACGCGCAGCAGCTCTCCGGGGTCCGGGCGGCCCACACGGTGGGAGGGATGACGACCGTACGACTGTAACGCTACGTATATCTCTTAACAATCACTATGTTCGCGCTGCTGCAGCGGTGCTTCGGATCGCGTCGAGCACTGTGCCTGTATCGTGCATGAGCACAGCCTCGAACGTACTGAGGTCGGCTATCCCGAGTTCGTTGAGCATGCGCTCCAGCACAATGCTGAGCTGCGGGTGCCATGTGTCGACGTGTCCAAGGGAACGGACGTCGCCGAAAGTCCTTGTTCACGCCGAAAAGTCGTTAGGTATGTTGTTGGCAAAACAAGACACAGAGCTCACACAGAATCACAGCGGGAGGAAAGCGGCGAGTCGCAACTCCTGGGGTCCTTGTGGCGGGCCACCCTGTCCAGAGAGGCATGGATGCCAATCTAGGGTCTCTCGACCGAGTCGCTCCCGGTGGTGGCAAGGTTGAGCAACCAAGCGACGGAGATGGTGCGCAATGGTGCGGGGGTACGGGTGTTCCAGGGGGTCACGACACGCACCGACCCTTCACGAGCCGAAAGGCTGTGCCCGGGGAAGGCACAGTAATCCGGCACGTGTTGGGCGCCCCATTCCGTTTGGCGGCTAGGTCGGCTCAGGGCCCCGTCCACTTCCCTCCCACTTGGCGCGTGATGATGAGGAGATGCCACCCAGGCCAGCCAGGGCAGGGGCGGGGGGCGAGGGCGGAGGGCGGGATGGGCACTAAGCGGGAGGGAGCGGACGGAGTGGAACGCACAGGTGGGTGGGGGATGGCGAACGCGGAGTGGTTCTTCCTCGCACGACACTGGGCACGCGCCAGTCCCGTGCCCAGTGTATAATAAATAAATAGAGCAGACAACCCCTGGTGTGGGATTTAGGGCAGCAGCAACCCGACGGGCAGACCCCGCCCCGCTCGGAGGGCGTGCACCACACAGCACACAGACAATCTAGACACTGCGCGACTCCTCGGGATTTCTGGGGAGTTGGGACGTGTGCGTGCGTGCGTACGTGTGTGTGTGTGTGTGTGCGTGCGTGTGTGTGCGTGTGCGTGTGTGTGTGCCTGTCAGCAGTTCACCTATACGGGTATGTTCGTAAGAGCTCCCTTGGAGCACTTGGAGTGCAGTCATTAGCCTCACATCCAGGGAACCAGCCTGAAAATTCTTCCACGGGAGTCGGCTCAGGGTTCCGGCTCCTAGCCAGATAGGGGGTCTGTTCCCCACGGTGACACCCTATGCAATAGGTAGGTAGGTCCGGTTTTGACCGCCCCAGAGGGCCCTGCAACAGGTAGGTAGCCCCTGTTTTCGTCTTTTTTCGCTTCGCTGCGCGGCCTGGGGGTAGGTAGGTAGGTAGGTAGGGCGTTTTGGCGCGAGTCATGCGCAGACCCCCTATCTGGCTAGGAGCCGGAACCCCAGGCGTGCCAATCGAGCCGAGAATTCCGTGGTCGGTCCATGCACCTCGTGGCGCGGACCCTCCTCGCCGGCTCCTGCGACGCCGAGAGCCCGCTCTTCAAGCTCGATGGGCAGGCGGACCTGCTCGGCCGCATCTGGCGGTACGTGATCCTTGCGTGGGCGCACGAGCTTCTCGAGGAGCGAATCTCCACGCAATCGGGCGGTGCTGACGACATCGCCTTTGCGCACGTCGACAACGTCTCCTTCCCTCAGCCCAAGGGCCGCAACGTCAACATGATGCCCTTCGTGCTCGGTGACCGCACGACCCTGCCCGAGGAGCTGCACGATTACTGGCCCATGATTGCGACGTGCCTCGAGACGCTGCCCGACGAGGAGCTCCTCCGCGTGGGCTACCTGACCGTCCACGAGAGCGAAGTGCGTGCGGGCGCATCGCAGCGCCGCGGCGGCCTACACACCGAGGGGTTCGTGCGCGAGGCGTGCGACGCGTCGGGCGGCGGCGGCGGCGGCCGCTGCCTCCACGCTCCGCACTGGCACCGCTGGGGCCAGGGCCGCGCGATGGACCACGGCAGGTTCGAGGGCGGCATCTTTCTCGCGTCGACGCTCTCCGACACGACGCAGCTCTACAACGTGCGCGTGCCGCCGACCCTCGTCGGCCGCGGCGGCGACTTGGATCACCTCCGCCCGACGCTCGAACGCTCCTGGCCAGGGGCTGGGCAGCCGCGGCAGCTGGGGCCAAAGGGCGGCGCCGCCGGCAACGCGCACGAAGTGCAGCCTCCCTGGCCGGCCAGGCCGGCCCGCCACCCGATCCAGCCTCAGGCGTCGCAACTCTTCTGGCTAACGGACTCCACGCCGCACGAGTCGCTGCCTCTCGCCACGGGCGCGCGCCGCCAGTTCTTCCGCCTGGTCACCTCGGCAGTCGACGTCTGGTACGCGGCGCACGCGTCGCCCAACCCCCTCGGCGTGCTGCCCGCGTGCAAGGTCGTCAGCCACGATAAGTTCACCGGCAAGGCACCTCTGTTTACCGGAAAGGCACCTCCGGCAGAGCCCGCGGCGGCGGCACCCACAGCAGCGGCAGCGGCACCCACAGCGACGGCGCCCTCTGCGCAGGTCCATCTGCGCAACGCGTTCCGTGCGCTGCAGGCCGCGACGCAGCAGGCGGTGGCGGAGGCGGCAGCGGAGGCGGCGGCCGAGGCGGCGGGAAGGCAGGCGCCGAATGAAGAGGTCTGCGCCGCGCAGCCGCCGCGCCAGCTCACAGATTTGCCTTCGGAGCTGCTCGAGGCCGTGCTGGGCTCGCTTCTCGAAGACCTGACGTGCGAGCGGGCGCTCGCGCGGCTCGGCCGCTGCTGCAAGGCCTTGCGCTCCCTAGTCGCCTCCGCGGAGTGGCGCCTGTCTACCGCCACCGGCCGTGCGCTCGGCGTCGCCGCCGTGCGCTCGTACGAGCAGCTGGCGGTGCTGCAGGTCTGCGCGTCCCTCGGCACCACGTGCGTCTACTTCCAGGACGCGGGCGCCGCCTTCCGGCCCGGCTCGTCGCTGTGTCGCGTCGACTCGTTTGCGGATTTGCTCCGCCGCCACCCGCGCCTACTCCTTCGCGTCGACGCGCACGCCGGCGCGCGGGCGCCGCCCCACTTTGCGGGCGGCTTCTCCCTCGAGCGCGCGCGCGCTGTGGGCGAGGCTCTGCTGCAGCGAGGGGCCGACATGGAGCGGGTCAGCCTCCACGGCTGGGGCAAGCGCGTCGCCGAGCGGGCGCTCTGGGCGTCGGGATGCTACGAGTCTCGACGCGCCGAGGTCTACTTCGAGCTCGACGGTGTCGAGCTCCCTGCGCGGCCCGCCCACTACGAGGGCGCCGGCGTGGCGGAGCGGACATACCTTGAGAGGTGCCGGACGAGGGAGGACGACGCGACGGAAGGGCCGCGCGGTCAGCCAGCGCGGTAGACGAGTTGTTGCGCATCCGAGTACTGGAGTAGAGTAGAGTTGTTCGGTAGCTCGGCCCTCTGCTCGCTGTGATGGTCTGTGGAACGACGGTTTGGACGCGTGTCGGTGTCGCACCCCGCATCGACGCATGCTGCACACGCGGTCTAACGTACGTGCATCGAAACGTGTGAACAGCAGTACTGCGTGTGTACGAAAACAGAAATTGCGCTGAAGCTGTAGCTGATGACTGCACAGTGCACTCCATGGACCATGCAAATCCACAAGAATGAAGAAATTGCCTCAAATTGGAGCTGCGGCTCTGTGTGTACTGTCTGTGATGCGTGAGGGTTAGGAACCGACGGCCGGCAGCGAGTTATGCTCTGCATCGCGCTAGCGTATGCCTCTACGCCTGGTCGACTTCCGCCAGCTCCGTCTCCCCCTGAGGCTCCGCCACGGGAGCGGCGGCAAAGGCAGCGTTGAACCCCACACCCTCTTTCTTGGCGAAGAAGTCGACGTAAGCAAGGACGCCGTTGACAAGGCAGACAGCAACAAAGAGCATGTGGACCTCCCAGAGAGTCGCGCGGTAATTAGGGATTCCGTGCTGCGTACACTTGAGCGCAGTCGCGTCGTCATCCTCGGTCACCTGCGGCAGGCATGATTGCTCGATTTTTGGACCAGACAGGGTAGGGCACGCTGCGCCTAATGCTAGCTCACCATGCTCACACAGGGCCGCATCGGCTGCGCCACGCTTGCGTTCCAGTGGCACGGCCACATTCCATCGGGGAGTTCGGCTTGGCCGTAACCCGGGTACTCGCAGTCTGTCTGGGTGAGGTGAAGGTAGCAGACGTAGGCATTGGAAGGAGGGGACCACAATTTCCTGTATGGCGGCAGGTAATTGGGCTTGAGGTAGCCGACCTGCGGCGTTGCGGACACGCTGAGTCCGGGGTAGCCGCTCTCGCAGAGAAGTGGGGCGGGGAGGAGGCATCTACGTGGGGAGGAGGCATCTACGCGGGTCCACAATTGAGACCACTAGGAGCACGAACAGGCAACCAATCGCACCCAGCGAAATCCAGTCGTTGGCGTCTCGCTTCCTCCGGAAGCTGATGGCCCACTCGAGCAAAATGAGGAGAGTGCCTCCCACAGCTATCGCGATGCCCAACACAATGCCTTGATTGTGCCACCATTTTATTTGCCCTAACGCACAGTCAGCAGCCGAGGTCAGCAGCTGCGTGCGCCTCCACCCCTGCGGGTCGCTGCGGGCCGACGATTGTGGACTGATCGATCGTGGCGGGCGGATTTCGGCTGGGACGTTCTACGGTTAAACCAAGAGCGTCGGCGCGGACACGAGAGACTTATAAGGGTAGATGAGCTTGCCTGAAGGGGGGGGGGCGGTGGTGCCCCGGGGCGGGCGAGTGTAATCAAGAAGGTCGGTTTGGGACGCGTCAAAGGCTCTGGCTGTTCCTCCTCACCAGTCCTCAAGCTTGTCACAGCCACCCTGCCAGCCATGCAGCGCATTTGCTCGAAGCAGCGCCTCGACGAGCTTCGGACCTCATCTCGCGACTCCCTGCCCTACCCGGTCGACGAGCCGCCTCTCGTCCAGAAGTGCCGGGCTCCGGGGTACAGCGGCGGCGAGCTCAACCTGCAGCCCTCGCTCTGGTTCATGGCTGCCATCTGCTGCTTCTCCGCCTCCGCGACCGCCTTTCTCGAGGCGTACGTGCTCAGCGCCAGCGGCCACCTCGCAGTCTTCCTGGTCGGCGGCTACGTGGTCTTCAGCAGCTACTTCGTCTGTGACTATGGTGACGCCCGCGCCGCCGCCGCCGCAGCGCTTCCTTCCCTCGCCATCTCACCGCTGCCGCACCGCCGCACCGCAGTCATGATGCGCGTCTCGACTTCGTACGCCGCCATCCCGGACGCCAAGAAGTTTTACGTCCTCTCGAACCTGGTCAAGGCGCGGCGCACCGCCGCGCGACCTGCCGCGCGCCACACGAGAGACCGCCGCGATGACCGCTCTCTCGCCCACACGCTAGGCTGCGGTGCTGCTCTCCTACACTCCGGTCGCCGCCCGCACGCTCTACCTCGGTATGGTCAACGACGAGTGGAGGACGACGTCGATCCGGAACCTGGGCGTGCTGTACGCGATCCCAGACACCGTCTCGCTGCTGCTCGTCGAGCGCATGGCCCTCACCACCCGCATCCATCACCTCTGCGTCATCGTCTTCATGGTGATCAACCTCTTCAACGACTACTCAGAACGGAACGTGTGGCGCGCGCTGGTCGTGTACGCAGTCTTCTCCACCTTCGCGTACCTCGTCAACCTCCTCCTCGCGTCGCGCTTCCTCGCGGCGCACGCCCACGCCCGCGCCAGCACTATCCGCACCCCAACACTCTGCACGAGCTTGCTTCTCCCCTTGGCCGCTCCTTGGCCACTCCCCCTACCCTCCCTCCATACCGCCTGTTCGCCCCGGCCTCCCCTCTCCCCCACCAGCCTCGCCACTGCCTGCGCGCAGGTGCACCCGAGCCTCTCCTACTGGCTCTCGGCCGGTACCGCCGGCCCTCTCGCCGCCGCTCCGCCGCCGCTGCCGGCTCACCGCGCGCCCCTCTGTCCGCAGGCGCGCTCGTCATCTACACGTCGTGCCTCGCCGCCAACTGGGCGTGGCAAGTCCACTACCTGACGGGGCTGTGGGTCGACACGCGCGCGTACTCGATCCTTGCCTACGTCGGCGTCATCCTCCTCGTCGTCTGGGATGACGTTGTCCTCGTCAAGTGGCTCGTCGGCAACCTGAGAGGCGGCGGGACTAAGAGCGCGTCCGCGCAGCAGCAGCAGCAGCAGCAGCAGAAGCGCGCCTCCGGCGCCGCTCCGGCGGGCAAGGAGAAGCCGGCGTGAGGCGCCGCGGACGGGACTTCGATGTGTACCGCTGTGCTCTTGCCTTGAACTGCCTGGGCCGTGGTGTTTTTTGTGCGATGTGTTCGCTTGGCCAACCCCCAAACGCCTGTGCGTCCCTTCAGAAGCTGTGTTGCCAAGTGTACGTGTATACGTGTGCATGTGGTCATCGTGCATGTGTGCGCGGGTGCGATTTCGCTCGGTGTATTTCAAAGGTCATTAAGGTCTCGACGTTTTTTACGACAGGCGAAGCCGCGAGAAAGCAGAAACGAAGGGGGTGTGACGAAATTGCAAATTCTCGCGGACTCGGGCCTCGGGCGGGGGGGGGGGGGGGGGGTCTTCTGTCCAGCGAGATCGACGACGGGGCCCGGGGCCTGAGGGTTGTACTGCGTACGCCGCTCGCTCGCAAGCGACCCCACCTATCTGGTCACGACAACCCAAAAGCTCGCCAAAGCGCCCGCCGCGAGCGTCCCTCCCGCCTGTGTCGCGTGCGAGAGACACAATGGTGCCTGCCCGCACGCTGGTGCTCGCCACGTTGTGCGCTGTGATGCTCATTGCGCACCACCGCCGCCTCCGCCGCGAGACGGGCGCCCACAGCGATGCCGCCGCCTCCGGCCAGTCTCACCTCGCCGGCCGCCCCTCGGCGCGGCTGCTTCGGTGCCCGTCAGGCAGCTACCAGAGCGAAGATGCACACCGGCGGGCGAGCCGTGCGCTCGCAGCGCATTGGGACAGCTTGCTGCGAGCCGGCTACCAGTCCCGTGCGCCGCCGCTCTCCGAGCCGAGCGGGCGGGCGCAGGCGCGCGGATTTGTGGTGTTTGAGGACCCAGAATGGCCTCGGCGGAGGGAGTGTGCAGCGATGTGGGGGCGCAATCAGCCGCGGCGGCGCGCCCGGCCCCGCGTGAGGCTGGTCGTCGCCGAGCCCCCCGGGACTTGCGAGCCGAACGGCACCCAGTGCGACAAGTGGCGTATCTCGCAGAGGCACCAGTTCGTGTGGTGAGCCTCCGCACGCCTTGTTCGCCACCGCTGCCGCCGCCGCCATGACTCACGCACCCCACCTGGCGGTGCGCCCGCCCCGCCCTGCCACCTCCTTTGCCTTCAGGCACCACGTCTGGAAGGCGGGGACGACTTCCCTCTCGCCGTACCTCTCATGCAACCTCGAGGCGCTGCCGGTGCCGCGGCTGCTCCACCGGCTGCCTGGCCGCCCGCCTGGCTACCTGCATGTCGGCTCCGCGCGCGAGCCGCTCTCGCGCTTCCTCTCGGGCTTCCAGGAGGTGTATGCGCGCGCGCTCGCCTCCGAGCATAGCCGCTGCCGCGCATTCGGCGTGCCGTGGTTGAGGCTCGCGCTGCGCGCGGGCGGTGCGGACGGCGCGGGAGGCGGCTGCCCCATAGACCGCCTCTCACCCGCAGACGTTGCGCGGGTGCTGCGCCAGTTCGTGGCGGACGTCGGTTGCGGCGTGCGCTTCGCCAACGGGGAGCACCTTTTGTCGCAATCCCTCTTTCTTGGCGGCAACGCCTCGGCGCCCTCGCCGGTGGACATGCTGCTTCGCCTGGAGTCGCTGCCGCGCGACATCGCCGCGCTGCGGCGGCGGGTAGGTCACGCGGCGCCCGAGCTGTGCCCGCTCGGGAGGGAGAGGGCGCAGGCGGCCAAGCCGCCACAGGTGCCGTCGCAGCGCGAGCTGCGGGCGGTGCTGACGGCAGACGGCGCGCTCATGCAGGCCGTGTGCGACCTTCTGATGACGGACTTCCTCTGCCTGGGGTACCCGCTGCCCCAGGGCTGCGCCGTCGGCGGCACCCGCCGAGGTCGCCAAGGTCGGGCCGCGGAGAATGGGTGATCGCCCGTGCCACTGCTCGACTGCCTTTTGTGGTTCTCTTCTTTTTCTCCTCCCCCCTACACGTAAAGAAAGAAAGAAAGGGACACACCAAATAAGGAGAGCTCTGAGAGAGAGAGATTTAGAAGCCAACCAGAAATGTGTGACACACAGTGATTTCGGCTCGGCAGCTTGTCGACTACCGGCCGGAGCCGGAGTCGTGGCGAGTCGGAACCGTAGCCGAGATAAATAAAAACGGACACCTCTCTACTGTGAGATGGGTAAAAAGGAACAGGCCCCCGCCCTTGCGATCTTTGTGCAGGGTTCTTTGTGGGTGTGGTCGGCGACTAGCCGGGGTCGTCCTCCCGATGGGGGACTAGCACTAGCCGTCTTCCACATGGTCCCTCGGGTCCCTGCTGCTCCTAATCTCTTCGTACATCCTCCTGCTGATCTCCGCAAAGTCCTGCTCCCTCCCTCGTCTCACCCTGCGCGTCTGCTCCGCCTCACCGTCTTCTGCCCTGCGTCGTCTGGCGACGGGTCCTCCATAGTCGGTCGAAGTCGCCGCCCTCCTCGTGCCTCTTCCCAACGTTCCCTCGGCGGCCGATGCCGTCTGCTCCGGCTCCCCAGTCCCCGGGTCTGCCCTGCTCTCGTCTGCACTAGCTTCTGCTTCGTCATCACTGGCGCCTCTCCTCTTCTTTCTCCCCTTCTTGTATGCTTTGTACATCGCGTCGATTCCTTTTCGCGTGAGCACCAGCCTGAAGCCCGCCCAGCATCTGAACCGCTCCCTAAGTCGAAGGAGCATCATCAGTCTCACCCACTTTGCTCTCTGCCCACCGTCTCCGCTCCCTCCCGCTTGAGCCGCCGTCGCGGCCCTCGTTCGTCCCACTGGCTGTTGGCCTGTTCCCACGTTACCTCCATTATCCCTCCTCCTCCGCGACTCCCTCAAGGCCGGCCGAGCCTCCTTCCACCCAGCGAAGAGCTTCCTCAGCCACTCGATGTGTTCCTCTCTCTTCATTATGCGCGCCGTAGCCTCATCATTGAGCTGGATCCACCTCTGCACCGCTCCCGTCGCCGCCTCGGCCACGACTTGCAAGTTCCTCGTGACCCCGGCGCCAAGGTCCCTCCGACTCTTCTCCGGGAGATCATCTACCAGCGCCGGCAACACCCCCCCGACGGCTGGTGCTAGTGCATCGTACCCGTCCTCATCCAGCACCCTATAGCGTGAGCCCTTCAGCGCAGCGACATGCGCTATTCTCAGCGTCTTCAGCGTATCCTTGGAGTCGGGTGCCGCCTGCGCTACTTTGCTGATCGCCGTCCCCGTCTGCGCTCGCGCTACTCTGAGGAACCATCTGGCCTGCTCCCTATTCCCCGGGCAGGCGCCGCTAAGCAAGTGCGCCATTGTCGCTCTAGGCGGGTTCTCATCTTCCTCGGTCCATTGCTGCGCGGCTTTCCGCACGATCGGGCACAGCGGGTCCCGCTTTAGTGCCGCCCTCCTCGCCGCGTCCCTCGCGGCCTTACATACGAGGCAGCCCCTGAGTTCGCTCCTCGTGGCGGCGCCCGGGGTCTCTCTCCCCGCCTCTCCCCGCATGATCCTCTCGTGGTGCGCTCCGTGTGGCACCCCCGTAGCCGAGATGGTCGTCGAGGGTGTCGAATATGTCATTCGCCTCGCTAGTAGAGCCGGTGCCGCATGAGTCTTGGTCGGAGGAGGAGTCGTCGGAGGAGCGGTCGGACCGCTCGCGCTTGTCGCGCCTGATGCGCTCTGCGAGGCCGAGGGGGCCGGGGTCGTAGTTGTCGTGCTCGAGCGTCGGGTAGGTAGCGCGCCTTGCGACCTTGTCGGCCGTGCTGCCGTCCCAGTAGAAGGTATACCAGTCGCCGCGAGGGTAGAACCAAGCGGTGACCAACCTGTACCGTTCGAGAGCGGCCGCCTGAGCGGCCTGAGCGGCCGCCTGAGCAGCCGCCTCTGCAGCGGCTGTCGCCGCCGCAGCCTTCTGCGCCGCCGCCTGTGCGGCCTTGGAGCGCTGCCTTGTTTTGCCTTCTTCTTGGTGCCCTTCGAGGTGTCATCAAGTGACTGGCTGGCCCGCCAGAGGTCGTGCTCTCTCTCTTTCTTGAGCTCTGTGAACACCGGCCGGAGAGAATTTCTTTCCTTCACGATTTCTGCGAAGAAACGTGCAAACACTCGGTGGCAAAATACCAAAGGAGTTTAGACCCAGTCGCGGAAGAATTGAACTTTACAACAACAATAAACCTAGAGGACAACACAGGCTCGACACAGGTAAAAGAAAGAAAGAAAGAAAACAGACAACCCAAGGGAGGGATGGATACAGGTCGGACGGCGCGTGCTGGCGAGCGGTTTTCTCGTGCCTTGCCATGGGCGTCCACACGCACAGAATGCCCTTCGACCCGCCCACCTTCACACGGCTGCTGCCGACTGGCTGCTCCCTCGGGCAGCGGCTCGAGTACCACGCGTCCCTGTCGTCCACTATGACCGCCACACGCGAGCTGGTTGGCTCCGAGGGCGGCGCGTCCCTCCACGGGGCCGTCGTACTTGCAGACGAGCAGACCGCGGGACTTGGGCGGCGCGGCCGCTCGTGGGACGCGGAGGCGTGCTGCTCCCTCCTCTTTTCGCTCGTGTGGGCGCCCGCAGCCGCCGGCCCGCCCGCGTTTCCCGAGCTGGTGAGGCTCAATCTTGCCGCGCCGCTCGCCGTCGCCGGCGCCTGCTCATTGGTGGGCGTCTCCTCGGGCCTGGTCAAGTGGCCCAACGACGTGTGGGCCGGCGTGCCGCCCAAGAAGCTGTCTGGCGTGCTGCTCGACTACGACGGCCGCGAGGCGGCGGTGCTCGGCGTCGGGGTGAACGTGCTTCAAGACATGTCGCTGCACCCGGCAGCGACGTCGGTCGCGACCCTGCTGGCTGCGCAGACGCCGTCCCCGCCCGGTCGGGAGGCCGAGCCGGGATGGGCCGGCGCGCTGGAGCCGTCGTCTCCGCTCGCGCCGCCCGCGTCGCTGCGCGAGCGGCTGCTCGCCTCGTTTTGCGGCGAGCTCGAGCGGCTGATGCGGATGGAGACGGCGCAGGTGGTGGCCGAGCACCGCCGCCGCGACCTGCTGCGCGGCCAGACCGTGCGTGTTCACCACCGCACCCGCGAGGAGCACGACCCGCGCGACTACGACGCGGTCGCCGGGCCAGGGTCGGCCAGGACGCCCGTATTCTTTTCGACGCGGTTTTTCTTTTATCAGGTCGCCGCTGGGGTTGGCGAGGACGGGGCGCTGCGCGTGAGGCGAGTCGGTGAGCCCGCCGGCAGGGAGGTGGCGCTGGCCGCGGAGGAGGTGTCCATCAGTCCGCTCGGCCCGGCGAGCTAGCTCGGGAGGCGCGCATGTGTGGATCTGCCATGCCACGGGGACTCGGCGGCGGGGATGCGCGGGGACTGGGAGGTGCGTCGGAGGAAGGCGCGCATGTGTGTGGATCCCGGCAGTGGATGTGCGCGCATGTGCACCGCGCATGTAGGCATGTGCATGTAGTACCCGCCTTTGGCGTTGGCAACATCAGATGTCGGAGGTCTTCTCGTCTTCCACACACGACACCACACACAAAAAGCCGTCGTATAGGCGTATTCGTGTGCGCGGAGCGTGGAGGGTGGAGGCTGGACGGCCCCTTCCGCCGTGACGCGTGAGGATTGAAGTCTGGGTCAGCTGTCCGCCGTCTTGTCCTTCTTCCCCCTTTTCCCGGCCTCCTTCTTGGCCGCCTTCCGCTCCGCCTTCTTTGCCGCCCGCCGCGCCTCCCGCTCGGGGCCGTCCTCCTGCCGAGCACAAGTCCAGAGAGCCTCAGCCGTCGGCGAGAGAGGCGGGGAGGGGAGAGGAGTGCGCGCCGGGGCAGTCGAGGAGCCGTCCTTGTTCTTCCCCTTCTTGGAGGCCCGCTCCTCCCCTCCCTCGTCCGCCTTGCGCTTCTTACCACGCTTCTCCGGCACCTCCACCTCGTCGCCATTTGCCACTGCCGGCATATCTCGCGACTTGCGCCGAAGCGCCTTGGTGGCAGTGCCAGCCGCCGGTGCTGCAGAGACAGCGGGTGCGGCGGCGGCGGCGGCGGCGGCGGCAGCCCTGGCAGCGACGAGCGCCTCGGCCGGCGCGCGTTTCTCCACCGCAGCGAGGCAGGACCGCAGCCCAGCCTGCAGGACGGACAGCGAGTGGGTGAGACGGGAGCACAGGTGCCGGCTGAGCGAGACGGGAGGCACCTCAATCCGCGGGCGCAGCTCGCAGCCGGGCTGCGCAAGAAAGGCCTCGAGCCCGGCCGCCGCGTCGGCGTAGGTGGCGACGGAGGTGGAGGTGAGCTTGAAGCCGGACGGTGGACGGCTGTTGTCCGATACGGTGACGCCCTCGGTCCACTCGCGCGCAGCACCGCTGTGCAGAGCTAGCATGCACCAGGTGCTCGCTGCTTGAGACTGGCTGTCACGCTACGTACGTATGGGAAGACGTCCTCGGCGCACGACAAAAAGAATTCCATCGGCAGAATTTTCGAGCCCTCGTCCGTGCCTCGCAGGCCGGTGAGATTGCTAGAGGTGGAGCAAGCTGCTCTAGCCTCACATGTCACTTCCTGTCGTCTGTTGTTTGAGTTGTGCCCTTGTTTGTGCCCTTGGCACCGTGGAGTGCTGGGGGGGGCGACAGGGAGGATGTGGCCCTAGTGTCGGTGCAGCTCTCGCAGGCGACCTTGCAGTGCTCTCGCGCGTGCTCGCCCTCCTCGCCCACCAGCGCGCACTTTCCCTTCATCTCCCTGCTGTTGCAGCCCGGCGGGTCATGGACCCCGTTGCAGGTCTGGTTGTGCTCGCAGTCGTAGTAGTCCCGATCGATGTAGGAGAAGTAGCTGGTCGGGCCAGGCACCGACGCCGACATGTTGATCTCGCCGCAGTACTGGTCGCGAATGGCGGTGTTGTAGACTGCGTGCGACTGCAGGTACCGCCGGTTCGCGCCCGGGTGGATGAACTGCCGCGCCTCATTGATCTCCTGGCGACACTTTCGCCCGCAGTAGCTCGAGTCGTGCTCGATGTACGGGCTCAGAGGGACGAGCTCCCCGTCGGCGCGGGTGTGCACCGGGAGCCGGAAGTCTTCCGCGAAGGAGAAGAAGGAGGTCACTTGCATGAACCACGCCGTTGTGACGTTGGTGGTGCAGATGTCCCACCACGGCGACTCGCGACCCGTCTCAAGGCGTCGAGCAAGGAACGTGACCTTCGCGTCCGGATATGCTGCCTGGTACTCCGCGACTTCTGCTTCCGGTGTGACCACGATGATCTCGTCGAAGGGGAGCGAGTAGCTGGCGCACGCGTCGAGGTGAGTGCACGTGTCGGGGCTGGTTTGTGCGTCGGCGAGGGCCTGACGGGCCCGAGTGAGGTTGGCCATGAACGTGTCGATGCTGCCCGTCCCAAAGTCCGTGACGACGAGCGTGAGCGACGCGCTCTCGCTCTCGGCGATACACGGCTTCGGGTAGACCGTGTCGTATGGGTCCCCGGCGCAGCAGCGCGTGGACCAGTCGCGCATGTACTTCGCGCCGTGGATGAAGCGGCACTCTTCGCAGATGTCCTGCGCCACCACGATGCTCGCCGCGTGGTTGCTCATGGTCGCGGTCTGCTTGTAGTCAAAGCTTTGCTCCGCCTGCTCTGGCGTTTCGGCGGCATCGATCGCGCCATAACCAATGTCGTACACCACCTCCGCGATCTGGACGTCGAAGGACGAGTGGAGGACCGTCTCCCACTCATTGACGTCGAAGGAGTCCAGCACCGACCGCAGGAGAGGAGCGGACAGGTTGTACAGCGAGTTGCCGTTGAGGTGGTTCAAGAGCGGGCGCTTGATGTGATCGTGCAGAGGCTTCCACTTGTACCCGCTGTACCGCGAGCCGGCGACGGAGAAGGGGCGCAGGGCCTCCTTCGCATCGACGAGGTCGTCGAGCCAGTCGCGGGCCAGGGGTATGGTGTCGGACTCCATCATGTAGAGGACCTCCACGCCAGCCGTGTCGTAGTACTGCAGCATCTTGTAGAACTGGAGGTTCGGCCCCAGGTTCCACGTCACGTCGCGTGCGCCGCTCGAGGGCCGGTAGATGTCCTGCGCCTCCGTCAGGTTGGCCCCCAGTAGGTAGATCGAGTCGAAGCAGGACCTGCGACGCGGGCAGATTCGCACGAGTGAGCCGGGTGCGCGGTGGGCGAGCTTGGGGGGGCGGGCCCGCACCTCCAGGGTCGATCGGTCACGTTTTGGAGGAAGGTGTCCACGGTGGCGCGCACAGAGAGAGTCTTGCTGTCGTCTCCAGAGATGTTGCGAGAGAGGTAAAGGACCAGGTCGACGCTCTCGCTCAGCCGCCGGCTCTGGTTGCACGGCGGAAGGGTGTCCCATCGATCGAAGGAGTCGAGCAGGCTGCTGACGTCAGCTAGAGAGAATGATCGCACCAGCGGGAACGCGGGCGACTTGCCGGCGATGATTGCGTCGCCTGCCGCCTTGCCCGCCGCATCCGCCGCATCGGATGACAAGCCGTCGTCGAGCGCCTTCTGAGCCGCCTTACCGGCAGCATCTCCTGCAGCAGCCGCCACTTCGGGGCTCTTACCGGCGATGATCGCGTCGCCCGCAGACCCACCTGCCGCCTCGGCAGCATCCCGCGACAGGCCATCGTCGAGCGCCTTCTGGGCCGCCTCGCCGGCAGCCTCCCCCGCGGCGGCTGCCTCCTCGGGCGACTTTCCCGCAAGAATGGCCTCGCTTGCAGCCTCGCCTGCAGCTCTGGCCGCATCCGGCGACAGGCCATCGTCGAGCGCCTTCTGGGCCGCCTTGCCCGCCGCCTCGCCAGCCGCAGCTGCCTCCTCGGGCGACTTGCCGGCGATGATCGCACCGACTGCTGCCTCTCCCGCTGCAGCCGCAGCCTCGGGCGAGAGGCCGTCGTCGAGCGCCTTTTGCGTGGCCGCAGCAGCTGCAGCCCCCGCCTCGAAGGCCTCGGCGGGGCTCTTGCCGTCCATGATAGCCTCGCCCGCCGCATCACCCGCGGCCGCAGCTGCCTCAGGCGAGAGGTCGGCGTCAAGAGCCGCCTGAGCCGCCTTGCCCGCCGCCTCGCCGGCCGCAGCTGCCTCCGCGGGCGACTTGCCGGCGATGATTGCGTCGCCTGCCGCCTTGCCCGCCGCATCCGCCGCATCCGCCGCATCGGGTGACAAGCCGTCGTCAAGCGCCTTCTGAGCCGCCTTACCGGCAGCATCTCCTGCAGCAGCCGCCACTTCGGGGCTCTTACCGGCGATGATCGCGTCGCCCGCAGACTCACCTGCCGCCTCGGCAGCATCCCGCGGCAGGCCATCGTCGAGCGCCTTCTGGGCCGCCTCGCCGGCAGCCTCGCCTGCCTCCTCGGGCGACTTTCCCGCAAGAATGGCCTCGCTTGCAGCCTCGCTTGCAGCTCTGGCCGCATCCGGCGACAGGCCATCGTCGAGCGCCTTCTGGGCCGCCTTGCCCGCCGCCTCGCCAGCCGCAGCTGCCTCCTCGGGCGACTTGCCGGCGATGATCGCACCGACTGCCGCTTTTCCCGCAGCGGCGGCGGCATCGGGCGACAAGCCGTCGTCGAGCGCGGGCAACATAACCGCTAGGGGGAAGCCGTCGACTTTTGCCAGAGCATTTGCGACCTCCTCAAAGGCATCCGCGTCGGTGAGAGAGGTTTTGACGTTGTCGACCACGACTGTGACCTGCGTACACATTGCGAGTGTGTGCGCGTGTGCAATCTCGGCCTCCCAGGCATCTCCTCCCGTGTTCTTGTGTCGGCGCTCTAGCGGTTGGCCAAGCTAGGCGGCCACCTGTGCACTGATCCCCAGGTTTGCGGCAGACACGATCTCCGTCTCGTCAACACAGTCGCTGCTTGTGTTTTGCCTGACCACCAGCACCGAAGTGTCTGCGACGGGTTGTGCCACCGCCTCAAATTCTGGCCCCTCGCTGTACGAGTACACGCGAGTGATGATCAGGGTGTGGGTCACGATCTCGGAGCCACAGTCAGCAGTCTGCAGGCGCCGCCCAGCCCCCAGGGGCGGCGGGCTCAGGGGCGGAGGCAGCGAGGGCGGGGGGCTCAGGGGCGGCGGCAGCGAGGGCGGGGGGCTCAGGGGCGGCGGCCCCGCAACGCTGCTCGAGTTGTACGGCAGCGAGGGCGGGGGGCTCAGGGGCGGCGGCCCCGCAACGCTGCTCGAGTTGTACGGCACAACTGTGATATTGCAGAGCGTCGTGCCGTTGCACGGCCCGCCGTTGGAGCTCTGCAGAACCTCGAGGAGGGCGTGTGAGTCAGAGGTGGTCTGTATCTCCAACTGGGTCGAGTCGCGGACGCTCATCTCAATCGTGGTGCTGGCGTTGAGCGGCTCGGGAGTGGCGTCCGAGACGGCCGCGTAGATGGCATCGGCAAACGACTTGGAGGATACCGATCCGTTACTGGCATTGCACGCCGGAGAGAAAGAACCCTGACAGTCATACTCGGCGACAACCTTCAGAGGCGGCGGCGAGGGCGGCGGCGGCGGCGGCGGCGATTTCGGAGACTCTGACGGTGGCGGCGGCGGCATGCCTGGTGAGGGTCTGCTGTCCACGCAGCAGCCGTGACAATCGCAGCCGAGATGTACGATGAGATCCTCGCACGATAGCAGACCTCGCAGCTGCAGGCAGGTTGACGCGCCGCATGAGAAGTCGCAGGAGGGTGGCAGTGACGGCGGCGACGGCTCCGGCTCCGGTGGTGGCGATGTTGGGGTCGAACTGAGCGCGATAGTGTCGAAGCGCAGCTCGCCAGATTGGTGCACGACGCGTACACCCAGCGGCTGGGCAAGGCTAGTCAAGTCGTTGAGGCCGAGCGCTTGGGTGGCGTCACGCACCTGCACCTCGACTGCGGCGAGTTGCGATTCACTCACGTCCGTGCGCGGCATCGCCGATATGGTCTCTTCGGCGCAGCTGTCGGCCCGTCTCCGGCTGCTCAAGACGCTGTGCGTGTCTGCTACCCCATGCTGCCGCCAAACAGGGGAGGGGAGCATACTCAGCAGCGGGTAGATCGTCGCGTGCATTTCCGAAGACGGTCGCACACGGACGGCCGAGAGTTTACCTGTAGGAGCTCGTAATGAGTCGGGCCGAGAGTTTAATGGGACGACCGCGTTGCAGTCTTCGATTTTTTCTATTTCTCTCTCACTCAGTCAGTGTATGTGGCTCTTACGTACATTCCCGGAGGAGGACTGCTGACACAGGGTTTGCGATGAGGAGTGACCCGAAGGGTTTCTCGGGGTTAGTGCACCACCAACCGCCTCTGCAAGAGCATTTCAGAACCTGAGAAGACCGAGGCAGAAAGAATTCTTTCTCGAGGCCTACTTCCTGCTCGCCGTACGGCTTCAAGCCCGGGGGCAGGCGACGGTAGTGCGTTAGACCCGAGCAAGCGTCGCTGACGAGTGCGTTGTGCCTCTTCGCCAGGCTTGCTCGCCACCTGGCAGGCGCGGCGGTAGCACGGATGCTCTGGGGGATTGCGCCGATGCGGCTGGGCAGCGCCAGCCTGCTCGCGCCCGTCAGCAACTGCAGCGACCGTCATGAGAGCTGTGCCCGGTATGCTTCCGAGGGCAGGTGCCGCCAACTCCCAGAGGCGTACTGCCCAGCGGCCTGCGGTCTGTGCGCTGACGCCGCCGCCGCCGCCGCTGAGGATCCGTGCCGGCCGGTGCCGGACGCTGTCGGGCCCGGAGCGGTTGCCGCGGCGTTCGCTCGCGCAGCGGCGTTGGAGCGGCTCCAGCCGACTCTGGCCAGCACCGACCCTCCCGTCATCATCTTTGATGCCTTCGCGTCAGCCGAGGAGGCGGAGAGGCTGGCCACGCTCGCCGAGAGCGTGTCCTTTCGGTCGAGTGGGAGCAGCTGCGGTCAGAAGGAGGTTTGCAGCAGCGCCTCGCTCAGCTGTGTGCCGGTGCCTGGCGGCGACTGCTGGTCAGAGGGCGCGATGCGCGGGCTCGAGGCGCGCATGCTCGAGGCGCTTCAGCTCCCCGCCGGCAACTGCGAGCCGCTCCGCTTCTTCCGCTACGCAGAGGGCGAGTCGTTCGGGCTCCACCACGACGCAAGCGGGCAGGCGGTGCCTCGTGACAGCCCCGGAGGGCCGCGCGTGTGGACGCTCTACGTCTTTCTCCGCGCGCCCGAGGAAGGCGGCGAGTTTTCCATGCCCGCCTTGAACCTGAGCATCACGCCCAAGGCCGGCAGGGCCGTGATGTGTGTGCACCGCCCCTGCCACACTGCACACCCTCGTGGCAGCGCCTGCAGCATATGTCCATGACCCGTCCAGCGCCTGCAGCATATGTCCATGACCCGTCCAGCGCCTGCAGCATATGCCCATGACCCGTCCAGCGCCTGCAGCATATGCCCATGACCCGTCCAGCGCCTGCAGCATATGCCCATGACCCGTCCAGGACATCTCGCAGGTGGCCGCACCTGCAGGACGGGGACCTGCTCACTCCAGACGCGCGCACGGCGCACGCGGGGATGCCGGTCTCGGCCGGCACCAAGGTGGGCGTCAACCTGCACGCGCACCGGAACAACATGCGCACGCGGGTGCTCGCGGGCTGCGCGGCGGGCGCGAGCGGCCTCTCCCACGTGTTTGACTACGAGGCGGCGGAGGGAGGCTCGCCCTTGCACGACGCAGTCGGCTTTGGCGCGACGGCGGCGGCCGCCGCTCTGCTCGCCGCGGGGGCGGAGGCCGGTGCGGCCGACGCCACCGGCATCACGCCTCTGCACCTCGCGGCAGGCCGGGGCATGCTCGGTGCGGCGCGTGCGTGCCTCGCGGCGGGCGCGGAGGTGGAGGCCGCCGACGCGTCTGGCGCGACGCCGCTGCACGTTGCGGCGTGGAAGGGAGAGGCGGCCGCGGTCTAGATGCTGCTCGGCGCACGTCTGGGGCACGTCCATGACACGTGCTTCGACATGTCCCAGGCGGCGGCCGTCCGGCTGCTGCTCGTCGCCGGCGCGGAGGCGGGCGCGGCCACGCCTCGCGGCATCACCCCGCTGCACCTCGCCGCCAAGCACGGCCACCTCGAGGCGTGCCGCGCCCTCGTCGACGGCGGGGCGCCCCTCGCAGCGCCGAGCCCGAGGCGCCTGTCCGGGACACGTCCCCGACCTGTCGTGGACACGTCCCATAGGCGCCGCTCGCCGCGCTGACCGACCGCGGCGCCACCCCGCTGCATTTCGCGTCGATGCACGGCCGGCGGCGGGTCGCGCAGCTCCTCCTGTCCTCCGGCTCTTGGGTGGACGCCGGCGACCGAGGCGTTTCTTTCGCTGACCTGACGCGTCATCTCGGGTGATCTGTGGGGCGACCTCGAGCGACCTCGGGTGATTCATCACCAGGCGGAGCGTCGGCCCTCCACCATGCCGCCGCCGCCGGGCACGCCGGCGCGGCTCTGGCTTGCCTCGAGGCGGCCGCGGCATGCCGTCGGAACCTTCTCGGAACCTTCTCGGAACTCTCTCGGAACTTGCCTGCAGGCGGGCGCGGCCGTCGGCGCGATTGACGGCGCTGGCGCGACGCCGCTCCACCACGCCGCGTTGGCGGGCAGCGCAGACGTGGTGAGGGTGCTGCTGGCGGCGGGCGCGTCCGCGAGCCAAGGCCCGGGCGGAGCCACCCCGCGGGAGATCGCTCTCGCGCGGGGCCACGCCGAGGTGGCGTCGATCCTCGAGCGGGCTGGTGGTGGCGGTGGGGGCACCTCGTTGGCGGCGCGGGTTTTGCTGGCGATTGGGGCGGGCGTGGTCGCTTGCGCTTGCGTGGGATGGGCTTCGCTCAGATCAGTTCCGCTGCTGCTGCTGCTGCTGCTGCTGCTGCTGCTGTTGCTGCTGCGGGCCGTGGCCAGGACCTCAGCCGTCGACAGGACTCGAGGCCGCATGGCCGGCGCGGCGAGCAACAGCTCGGACGCCGGATTCGGGCGCGGGGAGGCGGCCGGCGCCACCGACGCGGGCGGCGACGGCATGGACATAGAGGATTGCGAGGAGAAGGCGCGAGATCCCATCGGTCACAAGCCCTCCCCGGTGCTTCCCGAGCTCCCAGCCCAGCTCAAGAACCTGAAAAGGGTTGGCCGCAACTATGTGGGCTCCACGGGGGACTCAAGCGTCGTCTTCAGAGACTTTGTGGGGAGCCGCGCCAGGCGCGCCGCCAATGTGTTCGGCGGAGACGAGGCGGAGGCGGCGTGGGTTTGCCTCCTCAAGAATCCCGAGGTCGTGCGAGCGGTGTACCTCGAGCTGTGCGAGGACTACGACTCCGAACGCCTGACCGAGCTCAAAAGATTCGTCGACACGAACACAAGCACTCCGTTCTTTGAGCTGCGCGAGCGCGCCGCCTACCTCCGCGTCTTGGTACAGCACGGCAGCAGCGTGAGCGAGGAGCACCTGCATCGCTGGGACGCGGCGCCGTACCCCACCCGCGAGAGCCTGGAGATTGACGCGCTCGACATGCTGGTGCAGGCGCTCCCTCGCTGCGTGGGAGCGCCCAGGTCGGTGCTCGAGCTGGCGGGGCTGGCGGAGCCGCATGAGTGCAACATCTGCCTCCTGCGGGCCGTGAAGCCCGCCTCGGACGAGCAGATAGCCGCGGGAGAGCCCACCGTGCGCTTCCTCTTCCGAGGGCCGTGCCGCCACGGCGTGTGCGAGGACTGTGCGCGGCGCGATGCGCAGCGGCAGCTGCCGGGCGTGGTGTACGACCTGACCGCGGCGGCCTCCCGGGGTGAGCTCAAGTGCGTGGTCTGCTCCGCGGCGGTGGAGTGGCCGGGCCGCCGGAGCGCGCCGTACATCTACGAGGAGGCGGACGGGAGCAAGGGGAGAGGGCCCCTGCCGGGGGGCGCGTCGCTCCTCGACTGGAGGAGGTACCTCTTGCCCGATGCACTGCTGCTGGACCTCATCACCCCGGAGAAGGCGAGGGTGCGCGACGAGGCGCGCCTGCACGCACCGCCAGTTCCCCCCCCCCCCCCCCCCCTCGCCCCGCCCCCTCCCCGCTCCCTCCCCCCTCTGTGCCACCTCCCTCCCCTCTGCCGCCCCCTCGCCCCCTCCGGCAGCCTGCCCCCGCGCTCCCACCCGAACGCGGGGCCGCCCTCCCCGCGTCCCGACCCGCGCTCACGTGGAGCGCGCCTCCTCGTCTGGCAGTGCAACGAGTTTCCGCTGCACGTGGCGGCGCGCTCGGGCTGCTCCGCCACGGCCATCAGCAAGCTCATCGACGCCTTCCCTGCGGCCGCCTCCGAGCCCTCCTCGGCGCGCGCCCAGCGCGTAGCACCCGTCATGCGTGGCAAGGCCCAGTGAGAGGCGTCTGAGCGTGCGCGCGCGTCTGACCCGGCTGCCACCCCACCGCCAGGGCGACGGGCAGCTGCCCCTCCACAGCGCGGCCAAGATATCGACCTCGCACGAGGTCGTGGAGGCCCTCACCAGATGTTATCCGGACGGCCTCACGGCACAAGACTATGTGAGTGACGGCTCTATCGCGCCCGCACACACACCCTCTCGCCGCCCGCGCCTCGGCTCTCTCGCCCCGAATGTCTACCCCCCCCCCCCACACACACACACCCTCCGCTCTCCGCAGGCTGGCCGGACGCCCCTCCTTTGTGCCGCTGGCAACCCCTGCATCGAGGTCATAGAGTCGCTGATCCTCGGACCCCCCGAAGGCACCCTCGGGCTCGGCTTGGGCGAGCCGGCGCTGCACATCGCAGACTATAACGGAGCGACACCGCTGTCCTTGGCGTCGGAAAACGGTTACGTTGCCGACGGCGCGGCAAACGTCATGCAGCGGTACGAGAAGGCGTCTGCGCCGTGAAGCTCGTGTACATAGACTCGAGTACGGTGTACCGCGCACATAAGCAAAGTAAGGTGTCCAGTGAACCACACCGCACAGTCCACACTGGTGTGAAGAGAGAAAGAAGAGCGCGACTTTGTGCCGCGTGTAAAGTGACAGGCGTGATTGAAATGTGACAGGCGTGATTGAAATCGCTGTGTGTGTGACTTACAGCTGAAGAGAGTGGGGGGGGAGAGAGAGTTGTAAGAGTGGTGCGAGAGTGCACGCTGACTGCTCCCAGCGCGCGCGAGGGCCGAGGGGTGTGGAGCTGGCAGCGGGTTTCTTTGCTAAGCACTTGGAGCACTTGCGACTTGGTCTTGGAGTGCAGCCACAGGGCATGCCGCGGGTAAGAAGCGGTAAAGAAGCGCACTCGCCCCACTTACTCGCCCCCCCCCCCCCCCGAGCGGCGGGGGGGCCACTAAATGCGACGCCGCTCTGACTACTCGGAGATTTGACGACCCACCCACACGCTGCTCAACCCCAGGGGCGGGGCTCGCCACGCCGCGCCGCGCGCCACGAGCGATCGTGGATCACCCGTCGGCGTCAGGTGGCATCGCCGTCCCGGCGTCCCAGAGCAGCGTCTATTCAGGGCGACGCCGCTCACGCCATTTAGAGCGGTGTCAGCTTAAAGGGTGTGGATGCTGGGTTGACGGAAATCGGAGGACGCGACCCACTTCGCCACAGACGGTCCCGCGCCTCGCCGCTAAGACGGGTACACGACCGCGGCTCGTGTGCGTGTACCCGTCTTTGTCCGGAGTGAAAAGTCCAACGCGCTCGTCGGTGGCGGCTTCCTCCAACCTGCGCCGCGCTCGGCGAACCTCGACAGCGCTTTCGGTGGCATGCAGCTCTTTGTGACAGAAGCCTGGAGAGCAGCTCCTCTGCTGCTCACACACTCTGCACAGTTGACACAGCCTACTGTGCGGCTGCCACAGCTGTGACAGCGATGGACTCGCCCTCACTGGCCCTCAGTCACTTGTGCTGCGGCTTGTGTGAGCGACACTGCTCGGCGACTGCCGGCACACTGTGAGACCATGGCGTGTGAGGTAAAACAAACCTACCAGCGCTTGGTCACATCGGCCCCGAGGTCAGATCCATCTACTCTGTTGATGACAAAACGGACTTGTCTACCGGCTGGAGCCGAGCAGGAGGGCCCGGCGCACAACCCCCTGGTCAACTCACCCTCCACACCCCGTAAAGCAATCGCTGCTCTCACTAGCTAGAGCGGTGTTCACTCAGCAAAGTCACGCTCTGAAGAGGAGGAGGAAAGAAGAGGCAAGAGCGCGACTGAGGGAGGCGAAAGCAGCCTCTCCGCGGAAATAGACCGCTCCGCTATGTTGAGCGGTGTTGCACTGACTGACTTGACTCCGCTCGAACGTGTTTGGTCGGTGTTTTTCGCAAGAGTCCGCTCTGAAGGTTGCAGAGCGGAGTCTTGTTAGGCAAACGCTGCTCTGTGTTGTGTAGAGTGGGGTTTAAGCTTGAAGAACGCTGCTCTAGCACCCGCGAGCGGGGTTGCTGAGATATAGAACACGGCTCGAATCCTAGGTGGACGGACGGAAAAACACCCCCCTTCTATGCCTGACCCTGGGCATGCCTCTCTGGGTGTGAGCTGGGTCGGCCACCTCCGGGTCTGCAACTCGCACGGTGGGTCCGCTTCCGGGCGAGCATCCGAGGCCTGCGGTTGTCCCTTCGCTGGGCGCGACCGCCATGGAGATCCGCTACACACAGATCAGTGTTTTTGGCGACTATTGCTCGCTCTCTGTGCAATCGCAACGCCAGAGGCCGTGCTTGGAGAATGGGTCGCGATGCTGCTGCGCCAGTGGATTGAGCCGCTCCGCACACTCCATCGGTGAGCTGCGGTGGCGCGCCGGCCGCTTCATGCATGCTCTCGGGCGAGCTGCCGCAAACGCGTCTTCCGTCCGCCCGTTTCATCGAGTTTGCCCGAGTGGTAAAATGCAATCGAATTTGCCCGAATGGTAAGGTGCAACTTTTGCATTTGGTAAAAGTTGCCCGAGTGGTCAGTGGGAAAAAAACCAAAGCGGAAATGTGGCCCCAAGAGCTAAAGGTCAACATCACCTCCGGCTACGACAATGTGAACCTGATCTGGTCCTCACGGGGTTGACCCGTCTCCTCCAGATCGAGACGGACTTCATGAACGGCCGAGCATTATTTCTTCACTACTATTATTAATTGATGCTTTTTGCACGGCTGAGCCCCCCCCCCCCCCATCCCCCGCGCCCATTCCCTGCCCTCTCCCGCCACACACTCCGTCAGAGTCCCCTCCCCTCTTGCACAACAGGAATTTTGACAATTAACCAGTTGATGGGCTTGCCCATCCCGGAGTGGTTCGACCCCACATAAATCCGAGACGGTGACGGGATGCTGTCGTACGATGGTCTCAGGCCCAGTGAGGTAGTGCATCTGACTATCCCGGATCCTGCTGAACAAGCTCCTCTTGTAGCTCGATCGGTCACACCGCCATCGCCGTTGGGGAGAGGGGGGACGACACTGCTTCGGCAGCGTGCACCTCGATCCTGTACCGTGTTTGTTATGACCCCCCCCAATGAACATACCAGTGAGGGAGGGCGAGACGATCGAGGGGTCCCGTACCATGCGGAATCGACCCTATCCAGTGCTCAAGTGCTCAACACGGCTCTGAGATGTGAGAGTGGCGTGCGCGTTTTGCTTTTGGACCTCAGCCCTCACAGACCAGCGCAGGGTCCGCCGTGACGGCGATGACGCCTCGCCAGGCTGCCTCTGCTGGCGACTCCTCCTCTCAACCCTTCGTCACCGCCTCGGGCGGCCAGATGTGGCGTAGTGGCAGGCCGTACCGCTTCGTCGGCGCCAATTTCTGGTACGGCCTCCTGCTCGACGCAGGCCGGCTTGAGCGCGAACTGGACCGGCTCGCTGTGCTCAGTGTCACCAATCTGCGCGTGCTGGGAGCCATCGAGGAGCTTCCGCCGCCGTCGGCGCACGCGCAGCCTGCGGTGCAGCCGCGGCCGGGCGAGTTCGACGAGGCGCTCCTCGCCGGCCTGGACCGGCTGCTTTGCGGCGCGCGAGATCGTGGCATGACCGTGGTGCTGGTCCTCAACAACATGTGGCAGTGGTCGGGCGGGTTCGCGTCGTACGTGCACTGGGTGAGCGCTCGGCTGCTGCCTCCCTCGCTGCCGCCTCTCTCCACGCTGCTGCCTCCCACGCCACTGCTTCAACGCGCCACACCGTCCTCACCACAGCTATCCTCTTTGCTGCTCTCATGCCCGCACGCCCGCACCGCCGCTGCTCTTCATGCTCTCATGCCCGCACGCCCGCACCGCCGCTGCTCTTTATGCGCCGCCACCCGCCCACCCTCGCCGCCACCCGCCGCCACCCGCCCGCCCTCGCCGCCACCCGCCGCCCCTCAGCACAGGCGACAGGCGAGGCGCCGCCTCCGATGAGGAGCGGCGCGAGCGACGAGGAGTGGCAGGCGCACCAGGCATACGCGACGCGCTTCTACTCGACGCCCGCCGCCCGCGCGCTCTACTACAGGTACGTCCGCATGCTCGCCTCGCGCCTCAACTCGTGCTCCGGGCGGCGGTACGCCGACGACCCGACCATCCTGGCGTGGGAGCTCGCAAATGAGGCGAGATGTGCCCGAGATGTGCCCGAGAGTACCCGAGAGTACCCGACCACCCTTGCGTGGGGGCTCGCAAATGAGGCGAGATGCGGGCGAGATTTCCCCGCTCAAGAGCTGTCACGGCGGTGGAGGCGTCCGTGAACCAGCCTCTCGAACTCCCCCTAGGAACCTTCTAGAAACCTTCTAGGTACCTTCTCCTAGCCCCTCGGCCCTCCCCCGCGGGCGGAGGCCTCAATAGTGTGCCTGCCTCCTCGGCGCCATCTCTCGGCGTGCCACACAGCCTCCGGCGACATGACGACTCCTCTCTGTCAGGCGAGGCCTTCGCCGCCGTCAAGGCGCACCGCGCCACCTCCTGGACAGTTCTTGGACACTTCCTGGAACCCTCCTGCAGGCGAGGCCTCTCGCCGCCGTCGAGGCGTACCGCGCGTGGGTCGAGGAGGCAGCCGCGGTCGTACGCTCCGCCGCGCCTTCACACCTCGTGGCGCTCGGATCGGAGGGGCCCACGCCGTGGCCGCGGTACGTGCGGACTGACCTCCGTGCGCACTCCGCACGCCGCGACGCCCGCCGGCCGCAGATCGGCCGAGGCTTGCCCGGCCCTTGCCCGCAGGCGCTGACCACGCAGCGGTCGACTACGTGGCGGTCCACCTCTGGCCGCAGAATTGGCTCTGGTACGACCCGCGCCTTGTCCCGCCGGAGAGTGGAGGAGACGGCGGAGGCGGAGGTGGTGGTGGTGGAGGCGGCGGCGGCGGCGGCGGCGGCGGCGGCGCCAGCGGAGGCGGAGGCGGCGGCAGAGGCGGCGGAAGCGGCAGAGGCGGAGGAGGCAGAGGCGGCAGAGGCGGAGGCGGAGGCGGAGGCGAGGACGCGTCGATGCTCCGAGCGAGACGCCAGGTCGGGCACGAGGCCCCGAGCGGCGGCGGCGGCGGCGGCGGCGGTGGCGGCGGCGGCGGCGGCGGCGGCGGCGGCGGCGGCGGGACCTGCAGCGGCGGCGAGTGCAGCGGGGGGGCGGCGGGCCGCAAGGATCTGGCCAACGCGTTGCGCCAGTCTGCGGCCTACCTCGAGGCGGCGCGGAGCGCGGCGGCGGTGCTCGGTACACCCGCCTTGCATGAGGTGTGAGGAGAAGCGCGTGGCATGGTGGGCATGAGCGGTGTCGCGATTGCTGCAGGCAAGCCGCTGGTGGTGGAGGAGTTCGGGCTGGCGAGGGAGGGCGAGCAGGCGACACCTCGCGATACAGCCGAGAGGCGGCCGACGTAGGAATGATTCCTAGGGGAGGGAGGGCGAGCTGGGCGCCCGCCTCCCAGAGGCGGGAGACGAGTTCCGCTGCACCCCGGGGGGGGAATCCCCCCCCCCCCCCCCCCCTCTCTTCTTCCCCTTGTCCCACCCCGCCCTCCCGCTGCCCCACCCCTTGCCCACTCCCCTCCCTCTGCCCCACAGCTCACGCCGAGCTCTGGCACCGCCTCGCGCGACGCCTATTACCGGTGGGTCTGCAACACCTCGGCGGCGCTGCCCGCCGCCGGCGTCAACTTTTGGGCGTGGGGCGGCGAGGGGCGGCCGGGCAGCGCAGAGGCGGCGGCGTCCGCGCTAGTCCCGTCTGCAGAGCTTGTCGGTGCGCACCGCCAACCCACGCCGCTCGCCCACGGCACTCGCTTCCTCGCTGAAGCCGGCCGAGTCACGACCAAAGCGCCGCAGACCCCGCGGCTCCGGGCCTTCGCTCACCCCCGCACCTCGGCCCGCGCCGCAGGCGACCCCCCGCACGAGCGGCCTGGCTGGTACTCGGTCTACGACGTCGACAAGGCCACGCACGCCGCCATCGCCGAGTGCGCCGCACGCTTCGCGTTGCCTCCGCCCGCCGCCGCCGCGCGGGCGACGGCGCCGCCGCCCCCACCGTTGCCACCGCCCTCTTCTTCGCGCGGCGCGGGGCCCGAGGCGGCGGCGCAGGCAGCCTCGCCTCGCCCTCGCTGAGTGCTCCACTGCACAACTGAAAGACACAACTCGCCGGCAGCCAGCCTCGCTTGCCACGCGTGCGTAGGAGCTCGCCCTCGCCGAGTCGTGGCTCCTCTCGCACAGCCTCCCGCCCTCCACGCGCCGCCCAGCGGCGCGGCCGTTGCACGGAGGTGGCGCCGTCCTTGCTGCCAACAGCTCGACGAGCAGCGGCTGGTCGGCCGTCGGCGGCGCGGCTGTGCCTCGCCTTCCTCCCTCGGCGCTGGACGGCGGCCCGAGGAGCTGGCTGCCTCAGCTGCAGGGCGGGCTCCTCTCGCTGCCCTGTGCTTGCCCGCCCCACCCTCCGACCCTGCCGCCCGGCTGAATCTGCAGGGCACGCTAGGCTCTCCTACACCTACCGCGAGGTGGCCGAGCGGTGGCCGAGCAGCGTGGGCAGGCCGGGCGAGGCGCTGCTCCTCTGCAGCGGCGTGGCCGCCGCCGCCGCCCTCCTCCTTCGCTGCGTCTTGCGGCGCCGACACCCGCCGTCGGGCGAGCAGGTCGGGCGCGCGGACGCCGCGGAGGACAGCGATCGGGGGCAGCCACGGTCGCCGACGCGGCGCCTCTTCTTCCGGCGCGGCCACCGGACGGTCTCGCCGAGCTGCGACCCGCTGCTCGGCTACTCGTCGCAGGACGAGGTACTGTGACCGATGGGGCGTGCGATGGCCGTGCGCGCCGGGCGCATGTTTGCGCGTTGGGGTGCCGCTTGTGCCCGGCGTTCTCAAAAATGGGGTTCATTCCATGTCAGTGCGTGTTATGTCTCAACATGGGTCGGTGCACATGCACATGTACATGCACATGCACCATGAAGTGGGAGAGACTCGCCGCCGTCTGTCGCTCGCATGGTGTCAGTTCAATACGTAGAGCCTTCGATTAATCGGCCGGGCAGCATTATAACGTCGGCCGGCGGCCCCGGGCCGCGCCCCAGGCCCCCACAAGCCACTGCCCACCGCACTGCACTCATCGCTCGCCGGGGCAGCGTCCAGCGCAGGCTCCAGCGACGTGTGCCACTCTCTCCCGCCCTGGGCGGGGGGGGGGGGGGGGGGCTCCAGCGTCCAGGAAAAGTGCGCGAAGACCGAAGTAACTCATCTTTCTCAGGGTTGTGTGAGGGTGGGTTACTTAGGCCAGAGACGTCAACACAATATCACCCAGCGCCAGCCCGCCCGACGCCGAACTTGTCCAGCGTGTGCTTCATCGACTCGTACGCGCACCAGGAGATCGCGCACGACGGGCCGACTTGAAGCATCCGAGGGCGCATGCCCCAGAGGAAGCCGCGCAGCCCGTTCGCGCGCCAGATCGCGCGGATGGCGTCGCCGGCGCCCCGGAAGCGCACCTCAAAGTGCTTTGGCACGTCGCGCGAGTAGCCGCTCTCCGCAGTGGGCGGGCGCAGGCCTTGAGTCTGTAGCGCCGTCTTGACGACGTCGAGCGGGGTTGTCACGCCCGCCGCAAGTGCGCCCGAGACGCAGCCAGAGAAGAGGTAGAAGTTGAAGTCCCCGCTCGGGTTGAGCCACTTTCGCAGCGACTCGTTGCACATCATCATGAGGGAGTTGTACGGCACGTTCATCGCGAGCGTCGTGGGCATGCTGCGGAACAGGCTAGTGCCACCCTTGGCCACGATCCGCTCCAGGCAGTGCTGCGCATTGCGGTAGTATCCAAGCTGCAGCCGCTGCTTGACCGTCTCGGTGGGCACCTAGAGGTAACCGATGTTGGGGAGATAGCCGACAGCGAGGGCGGCGGCGGGCTCAGAGCTGGCGGGCTGGGCGGCGGCGGCGAAGGAGGCGGCTAGGTCGAGGCGGTGAGCTGGGAGGTGGGAGTTGGCAGGGACGGAGGCGGAGCGATCGGCGGGTATATGGGGCAGGGCCGCACCATGACGGCATCATGGAACAAGGTGGCGACGCCGCCGGCCGCAGCGCCGACAGCGGCCACCCGCTCTGGTGTAGCAGCCTGCTGCCGCGAGCCGCCCGCCTCCAGGATAATCTCGTAAACGGAGAACATCATCGCGTGCGCCGGGATGCATCCGACTGGGACAACGCCGACGCCGCGCCACAGCACGCCGAGACCATTCTTTGCGACCAGCTCACGGACGACGGCCATGCGGGCACTGGTTCCGCCCGCCGCGAATGGCTCGCCCGGCCTCGCGCCCCGCCCACCTCCGGCCTGGACCATCGTCTTCACTGTGTCGACAGGAAACATCAGAGAGTGCTCTGAGACGCCGGCGAAGGAGCCGGCGATCATGTGCTGCAGCAAGGTTGTGGTGCATGGATCTCGCTCGTCAACCTCCGTCGGGTCGCGGTCCATGGCAGCGGAGGTAGGCGAGGAGGACAGACTGTTGAGCGCTGTCAGATCGGTGTTTGAGTGTGCGGAGCTAGGACGGGAGGAAGATGGGAGCACGAGTAGATGCGCCTCACCCTCGATAGCGGTGCCATCGTGGTGTGGGGCTGAAAGAAAAAGCAGCCGCGTGTTGAACTATCCCTCGGAGACGTGGTATGGCCCTGCGACCGCGCATCCCCCCCCTTACTTAGCTCTTAGGGGTCAGGGCTCTCTAGCCCGTAGCCCGATGCCGAGCGTCCGGCCAACTGGGTGCGCTTCTCAGCTCCCCGGTCCTGGACGTGAGGTTGATGACCGCACTCCAAGTGCTCCAAGTGTTTAGTTTACGGCCCTTTCCCTGCGAACGCGCACCCCCCCAGGGCTAGGGCTCTCTAGCCCGTAACCCGATATCGATCATCCGGCCCGCTGGGTGCGCTTCTTAGCTCCCCGGCCCTGGATGTGAGCAGTGAGGTTGGATGACTGCCACTCCTGACTCCATCTCCAAAAGTGCTCCAAGGCCAAGTGACTAGGTCCAGCCCTGGGTGGCGCAAGATCTGACGTTCTGTGTCTGTAATAGATAAGATGAGAGTGAGGTTGAACTGGACCCAATCAAAGTCGGCGGGCGAGGGGGGGGGGACGAAAAACGGCGGGCACATTTGGGCACATGACTGGGAGAACTCTGTGGTGGACCCGCTGGGCGAAAGGAGCTCGCAGACCGTTGCGTTGGGCCTCACGATGTCATCGAGCGGAGCGAGCGCGAGCGCGGCGACCATGCAGCGGCACCAGGAGCAGCGGCGCGCTGACACGAGCGCGCTCTCGCCGATGCGGCGAGGGGGCAGAGGCAGATGCCCGAGCTGCCGCCGTACGTGCCAGAATTCGACCTCGCGTTCATGTCTCAGATGCTGGGCGGTGGAGCCGTCCGGTCGGAAGCAGAAGACACGGCCACTGGCGACGACGAGACGATCGTGCAGGAGGCCGCCGTCGACATTGCCCTCCAGCTTTTGACGGATGGCGAGGTTGGAACAAGCCAACATCAGATTTGCCTCGTGCGTCCCTTTTTGAGCCGGAAAGCTATTTTCTTTTGGGTCCTGTGGGCACCCTATCATGAAGCATGATAGATAGACATAGAAAGCATGAACCATCGAAAGGTCTGATCTCCAAAAAGAGCTCTCGGCCTGCCGCGCGCGCCCGCGCCCCGCCCCTTTTGCGCAGCAACACCTTACATTTCATGGCCCTCCAAATTCGGGTCGGAGCGTAGCGGAGTGGGCCCCGAGTTTGAAAAGGGCGACGGACGCTTGCGTCCTAGCCTCCAACAACGCCTCCCCGGCGGCGCAGAGGGGCCCCCGGAGGGATTTAAGGCCGCCTTTTTCTTTTTCCCTGGCCTCGCCCAACACCATCCCACCGACCATCTGCTCGTGTCCCTCGTCGCTGCTCGTGTCCCTCGTCAATGCTCCACGCTCCACCCTGGGGCCGGCTCGTCCTCACTCGCTGGGAGGACGCGGGCTGTGAGCGGCCCCGCGGCGGAGCCTACGTGCTCGCAACTCGCAACGTGGAGTGTGGCCGAGCGAGCGCGTGCGCCATCCACTTCAACAAGCGCGTGGACTGGGTTTCCAATCGCCATTTTGAGGTCGGGCGCGACGAAGAGGGCCCGTGGCTTTGCGACCGCTCGTCCAACGGGACGTGGCTCAACGGGGCGCAACTCGTGCAGGGGAAGCCGGCGCGAATGAACCTTGGAGACACCATCGAGCTCCGCGCGGCCGCCAAGAGTGAGGGCCAGCCGCACAAGACGATCGCCTTCCGCTTCGAGCCGCCGCCGCAGCCGCTGAGCAATGTGCCTCCGCCTCTCGAGGACTCGCCGCCGGCAGAGAGCGAGTCGTCCAAGCGGCAGCGGCCGGGCGCGCAGCGCGAGACTGACCTCCCGACGAGGATGGCCGAAGACAGGCCGCGTCAGGCGCCGCTCTCCGCGGCGGCGGCGGCGGCGTTTGAGGCGCGGCTCGAGGCGGTGGGCGCAGAGCTGCGCGACGTCAAGGCGGATACGTCAGGAGGGAGGCTCTGATGGCACGTCCACGACACGTCCATGACCGCCCGTGGTTTCCCGCTAGGCGCAGCAGGAGGCGGAGGCGTTGACGGCATGGCCTCGACATGCGATCCGCCCGTGGTGACCCGTAGGCGCAGCAGGAGGCGGAGGCTCGACGGCTGGTGTCGGCGGAGGCGGCGGCGAGGGCGGCCGAGGAGGCGGCGAGGGCCGCCGAGCAGCAGGCGCAGGCGGCGCGCGAGAGGCGGGCGGAGCTGTCGACGCAGCTCGAGGAGGAGCGGGCGGCGCGGGCGACGGCAGAGGCGGCCTTGGCGCGCGAGCGGGCGCGCGCGGTCGAGATGGAGGAGCGGCGTTGCGGCGGGCCGAGGCGGAGAGGGCGGGTTCGTTCTCTGAGCCTTGTCTCGGAACCTTCCACTAGGAGCGGCTGCGGGAGGCAGAGGCGGAGAGGGCGGTGCGTGCCGCGGCCGAGGAGGGGGCGCAGCATCGCTTGACACCTAGCTGTCTTCACACCCAGCACGCGTTCACAGGCGCGGGCTGCAGCCGAGGCGGCCGCCGCGAGAGAGCGGGCGCGGGCCTCGGAGCTGGAGGGGCGACTCAAGGAGCTGCGGAGGGCCGTCGATGAGGCAGCGGCTCTCCCGGCGCAGCTGGGCAAGCTGCTCGGCGCGGCGAGGCAGGCGAGTGTGCCAACGTGAGGCGACGAGCCAAGGCAACGCGGACAGCAGCAGCAGCCGACAACACGGAGCGACGCCGGCAAGCGGGGCTGTGCGGATTTGCAGAGCCGAGAGCCGCGTGGAGCCGACTCTCGGTCTCCGCAGCTGATGGCGCGAGCACTCGCAGCGAGACGAGCCTGGGGAACACGCTCGAACGTCAATGGCGCCTTTTCTTGCACTGGTTTGTGCTATCGACCAGAACACTTCAAGGTCTCAGGGCCTCTCGCACCCTGGCCCTGGCGCGGCAGGGCGCGCGATCGTACGCATGACGGTTTATTTTACCCTCGTATACGAACATTCATTTGAAGCCACCACCAAGCGGCCGCTGAACGACGGACCGACAATGACTGCCAGAGTCTGACCTGACCGCGCCGCGCGCGCGCTCGAGCGCGCGCGCCGCGCGCCAGGGAGCCAGGCCCCGGCCGCGCCACCGACAGGGTCTCCGCTCGTCCGCTATACCGAGAGGTACTCGTTTATCTGCGGGCACCATGTTGGTCACCATCCAGCCTCCGGGCGCAGGACCTGGTCCGCGCCCACGCAGAGCGTTCTCGAGAGAGAGCTAGTCAACTACGGCTTTAGTCTCCAGAGTCCACAGAGTCAGAGAGAGGCCAAGAACAATAACGAATACACCAAACAGCGAGACACGCAGGTCGTATCTATGTGCAGAATCAAGACCGGCGCGGCGTCCACAATGAGCGCGCGCATGCACACCGCCGCAATCTCCGGATCTTCCGAGTTGAAGCCACGAAAACGCCTTCCCCGCTTCGTGTCTCGATATGGGCAAGTCATGGACAGAGTGTCGTCGTGCGCCAAAAGGCGGAACGCAGCGCTTCAAGGCTTGCGGGCGCCGCCTCCGACCAAGCCGCCGAGCCGCGAGCGAAGGGCGGCCGCCCCTCCTCGGCGGGTGCCGCCAACCACCTTGACCGGCTCGCGCGCAACCGTCTCGATCTTGGCGACGCCCGCGTACATTCCGGTCAGGAGAGGGAGCAGGGCACCAATCACGAGCCACACCTGCGCGGACATGTGCATGTGCATGTGCATGTGCACATGTTGTTGTTGGCGTGTCGTGGAGATGGATCGTGGAGATGGATCATGTGGCGACGCCGCAGCGGCAGAACGTGGGGTGTGTGGCGGGCGAGGGAGTGAGGGGTCTTGGAGCCATCTCGGTAGCGTCTCGGTGGCGTCTCGCCCAGCCGCTTCGGCGAGAGGAGAGGCGAGCCTTCACCGGCGACCGCTGCGCCGCGTGCTTCTTTGGGGAGGGTGCGCCGGTCTCGCCGTGCTCATCGATGGCAGGCATCGGGAATGGCGGAGGAGGCTCTTCGGGGAGGTCAACGGAGAGCGTCGACGAGGTTGAGCCAAAGATGCTCCAGTGCCGGAGACTGGGTGGCACCAGCGCGGCCGAGAGGCCTGCCCGCGGCTGCGCCGGGGAGAGAAAGTCCAGCAGCGGCTCAGGGCCTTCGCCTCTCACCACAGAGGCGGGGAGCGCCTTCAGGTACGCGGCGAGCAGCCCTTGCATCGCAGCCGCGCGCTCATCCCGGAATGCTGGCTCGAGCATCGCTCCTGAGAAAGCAGGGCGGGCGGGCTGCGGGGACGCGCAGCGAGGGGAGACGGCGGTGAGGAGGGTCGCACACCTGCTGAGCGAAAGCCGTGTACGTTGAAACGCGGGATGGCGACTCCGGAGTCGCGGAGCTGCTTGGCATGCTTTGCCTGGAGCGTTGCAACCATGATGCGCAGGTCGTTCCTGCGAGCAGGGTGGCTGAAGGTGGGCGGTGGCGGTTCACATTTTTCGCGCCGGGCTTGCACGCACCATCGCCGCTGCACGCTCCAGCGATCGCCAGCCTCGCTCACTGCCAGACTGTAGACCACATACGGCTGCCCGCCCCGCACCTCGTCCTTCCCTTCGACGTCGTGGCTGACAACGGCCGCGCTTAACATCGCTGGGGCCGCGCGCCAGTTAGCCCCCGAGCGAAGATCGGCGGGCTTGCCGCTCGAGGCTCGACAAATGAAGCGCGAGCGGCGAAACGCTAATGAAGTGTACCCAGCGAGGGCGCCCAGCCGCGTCGGCGTCCAGTCCGAGCCTGACTGTGCTTCGCGTCCTTAGTTACTTACTGGGAGCCGCCGCGCGCGTTCGGAGTACAGTATTTCATTCACTGTGGGAATAGATTGTACATGTATGTACAAACAAGTGAACCGATCTAATCGACCTCTCTCTATCTACTTACATCTTACTTACTTATTGCTCAGGGCGCGCGGCTGCGGGCGGGTGCTCTCCCGAGTCCCGTACGGCGCCCTCCAGCCGACGCGCACTCGGGCGGCAGCCGTGCTAAGTATAGTAGAGCACTTGCTTTGCCTTATGTGGCTCTACTTAATTAACACGTACGTACATGCTGGGCTGCGAGCGCCGCTCCTCCTCCGCCGAGCGACGTGCGGCCGAGGCCACAGAGGCGGAGACGTACTGCTGCCACTTCGGGACACGTCTCGAACATCACCTTGACCAAGCCCTTGACATGCGCAGACAGGACTGCCGCCGTCTCCTCGGGGTAGCCCCCAAAGCCCTCGAGGCGGGCCGTCGGCGGGTACGCCTGGGTCAGCTGCAGCCCCACCTACAACAACACAGACACGATGGTGAGCAAAGGCGAGGGAGGGCACGAGCGTGCGCACCTACCGGCGTGAAGTAGGCCCGGTTGCACTCGATTGTCATCACGCGTCGGCCCTTGTCCACCTTGTGCGAGATCCGCGCAGGCACCACCGCGCAGGCCAGCATTTCCGACGGCTTCTCCTTGCATGGCGCGATGATCTTGCACGACTTGTACGCGAGGGGCTTGGTGCAGCCCCTGCTCGCGCACGAGAAATCCAGCGCGTTGTCGAGGAGAGTCTGCGAGGTCGTCTCCCATGCCGTGACGCCCTTCCGCGTGCCCGCCACCTCGTCCCAGCCCACAGTCGCGTGCCTGCGGCGGAGGAGGGGTCGATAGGTGATGCAAGCGGGCACTCTGCACTCTGGCGCGCGCTCGGAGGGTGGGGCACGCACTGGAGGTAGAGGGGCACGGGGACCGTGACTTTGAGCGTCATGCGCCACGCTCGGCCGGCCCCGGCCGGCGGCCGCTGAAGCTGCCTCCTCGCGAGTTCCGCAACCGCGACCTTCTGCGTCCCAAGCTCCGCCATCTGCGCCCGTGGCACTGGCGGCGCGTGCGTTGCCGCCGCCTTGGGCGGGAGTGAGGACGGCGCGGCCGCCGGTGCGGGTTGGGGTGCGGGTTGGGGTTGCTAGCATAGAAGCGGTCCTCCGGGATGGGCTTGGGTGCGCGTGGCGGCGGCGGCCGTACCTCTGGCCGAAAGGGCGCCAGGGCTCCTGCCGTGAGAGAGGGCGGAATTGGCGTCAATGCGCCCCCCCCCCCCCCCCCCCCGGGATTCTCTCTCGGTCGGATTGGGCGGTCCATTTCGCACGGAGCGGGTGGGCAGGGTGTAGAGTTGCTCGATCCGGCCCAGAATACACGCTGACGGTGCTGTGGGTTTGTGTAGCTGGCATAAGTGCACTCGGGCGCGGGAGATGCGCTCGAACCTGGTCCCGGGGGAGGCTGAATCGGCGTCCGGGGGCGCGATCGCGAGTTCCATCCGGCCCCGGGGCCTTACGTGCCCCGCCCGAGTTGCGGTTCGGGACCGGGCGCCCGAGGAGGAGGCGGGGTTGTTTGCGCTCGGGGGCTGGTGGGATAGGCTGAAGACCGCTCATCTACCCTCCAAACTCTTCAAAGGGCATGCGCTTTCCCGCCCGAGTTGGGAGATCGCGAATGGCCAGGGGGGGGGGGGGGGGTTGAAAACTCGCCCGGCTCTAGATTTCGTAGATTAGTGCATAGTGGGCCTCTTCGCTCTCGCCTCTCCGCCCAAAACTGTATCAAAATTGTGATAAGGATGAGGGAATATGAGGGACATGCACATGCGCGTTAAGAGAGGAGAGAGAGAGAGAGAGAGAGAGAGAGAGAGAGAGAGAGAGAGAGAGAGAGAGAGAGAGAGAGAGAGAGATGCCACTCGCCACCGTTGACACATGGACATGCAAAGTGCGATCAGATGTCCGGGCCCGCTTTTTTTTCTGCCAGCCGCGCGTAGTAGACAGAGTGCGCCGTCGTGAGCGGGTGTAGGACCGGCTCCGTCGGCAGCCGTACGAGCGGCGGAGGGGCAGTGGGCGGAGGGGCGGGGGGCGGCGCCGCCCTCGCCGAGGTCATGCTCGGTTGGATCGGCGGCCAGCCGATGGGAATGGCATACGCGAAGGCTCGCAAAACGGGCGGCGGGTGGGCGGGCGGCAGCGAAGTGGGGGGCGAGAGCGGCGACGAGGGCGAGAGCGGCGACGCCGGGTCCGGCACGCTGAGGACCAGCGGCTTCACGTGCGGCGGCGTCTGCGTGGTTTGCATCGGCGGCGGCGGCGCAGCAGCCGAGCGGGGAACGGTCGGGCCCGACGGGCGGACGGCGGTGAGGAGAGAGGCGGCGCGCGAGAAGCCGGAGGTCTTCACCGAGCACACGTGGCCCAGCTTGGGAAGCCCACATGCGGTGCAGCGGTTCTTGGCGAGGCCGAGGCGTCGCGCGTGCTGCCCGAACTCGATTCTGAGGTAGCGGTTGCGAACGGACGCCGGGCTGCGGTTGGTGAGGCCGTCGGCGATGCGGCCCCATTTACGACCCTGCGGAATGGGGAGATGCAGGGGGTGAGAGACGGCGCGGCGCGGATCTTCAAATACTTGGGCGAGAGTGATGGCGTTACGGCGGCCGCACCTCAAGTGCATACAGCTGGAGGATTTTGCGGTCCTCCTCCGGAGTCCAGGACGCCATGTTGTCGGTGCTCTTTTTACCGACCATGTCCTGGGCGCGAGGTGGGTTGTGATGACCGATTCGCGGCAACCCCGACCGAGGCGAGAACCCGCCGCGACAAGGGACTCACAAGGCGGTGGATATTCGGCGAGGGATTGCGTGGGGCGAGGGAGATTTGCAAGGGTTGACGCTCGCCTGTTGGAACGGTTGTTCTTCTTGCTCTGTTGGCGCTGCTATTGGCGAGCAGCAAGGAGTGCTGCGTTTGGTTGTGTTCCAGCTCACTCAAAAAGCGACCTGCCGCGAAATTCGTTTCCACGGATCTCGTCATTTCTAATGAAAGAACCGGGGAACGCAGTCCCCGGTGCGCCGAGGTTGATGACCGCACTCCAAGTGCTCCAAGTGCTCCCGGGTAGACTGTGAGGGCACGCGCATCGCTTCCCGCCTTGGTCCTTGGCGGGATGCTGGGCGAGGATGTCCGCGGGCGGGGCGAGGTCCGTGCACGGCGAGAGTTCTGATCCGTGCTGACCCCGCGTGCCGGGTTAGTGTCCTACCTTATAGGTAGATGGTTAAGTCTGTATTTTGAGAGAGAGATTTGTAGCAATACCTTAAAGAGAGGTTACAGGCGGGGTAAGATCCGTTAGCGGGAGATCGGCAATACCAAACATGTTTGTATTTTGTGTATTTGGACTCAAGCTGGATACATGCTTATTGTGTGTATTTGCTTGCTCGCAACGCGGCGCGACGCTCTCACGGACTCACGCAGATGCGTGCCACGACCTCGGGGCTGCTCACGGAGAGCTCCTTCCATGCGCGCTCCGGGGGTTGGCCGACGCCACGATGAGACGTCAGCGCGCTCCGACGGCGACGCCGCGCACCCGTGTTTTCTTTTTTCGACCCCCGCTGCCTTCGCGGGCATGGACCCAAGGCAGGAGCTTGGCGGGCCGGCGATTGCAACCGCGCCTTCCGGCGGATGCTCTCGCTCAGCCGGTTTGCGCCACGGGCGCTCGCCACGCCAAGCGGGCGGTTGAACGACTCTTGGGTCGCGTCACGCGTGCTTTTTGAGAATTTCCGAGCCCAGCGGAGGCCATGGCAATCATGGGATTGGCGATTGGGGGCCGAAGAAGACAAAGTAAATGTGAACCCGCGGAGGGTGTACCCGGTCCCGCGGACATATATTGTTCTCCGAGGAAGGTGGGTGTACGAGTTTAACCTCCAACGCTAATCAGCAATCTGCATCTCTCGCTCTTCTATAATTTCCGCTCACCACGTGCTGGGCAACGGGTCCTTGGCGGAAGCGCGCGTCGCGATCTCGAGGAGCACCACCTGCCAGAGCGGCTCGCCGCGCTCACGCTGATGAGTGGGCTACATATCCCCTATACCCCTGCGCGCACCTCGCACGTGGCACAAACTCCTTCAAGCGGCAGATCGTGACGGCCCGACCCGAAAGGCTCGCCCAGCCGGATAGCCATGTCGTCCGCCTTGCAAAACGAACCAGTCGCTTAGATACTACTGCTGCTGCGAGAGTCAGGGCACACACAAATGTCAGGGGGGCGCACAGCTCTCGGCTGCCCCTCGGCTACGTCGCAATCCAGATACGTCTAGGCTACTTCCGCGGCTACGTCTCGGCCCCGCCTTGAGCAAGATCAGCGCGAGCACGGCGCAAACCGGCACAGCGACGAACCAAGGGTACCTAATTCGTAGTGCATGACTGTTCATTAGCTGTTAATTAAGGTCTCACGGCGACGAGCGGTACCTACACGGGGCGGCGTGTCGCGGAGGATAAAACAAGACCTCGCGGGCGCGAGTCTCCTCGGCGATGGAACACGGGGTTACTCGTCCGAGATCGCGAGCGGGAAAGTGAAGATCCAGACCGCCGAGAAGACGCGGAGCATCGCGTGTGGCCCGCGCGGCATCGGCGTCCGCGCGATCCGCTCGCTGCCGCCGAGCGCATCGACGAGCGCCTGGTCAGTGCAGCGCAACCCTCGGCAGAGGCGGGTCGGGGGCAGCTCAAGCCACACGTGGCCCACACACGGCCGCCTTGAGCTGCTCGTCGACTGCGATCTCCCACAGGCCGAGCCGGGGCGCTGGCGCTGCCGTCGCCTGCTGCTCGCGCGCCTCGTCGGCGAACTCGGCGCGCAACGTGTCGATGACGAACCTGTGCGGTGGCGAAGAGGGAGGGAGGGGGGGGGGGCTCGACATCGCCTGTGTAGTAAGTACAGCGAGGTGCGAGGAGCCTGTCTGCATCTAGGATTGCGATGCATCGGAATCGACGTCGAATCGTTGAGCAGGCTCACCTGCCGGTCACATGATCGCCGGTCAGAGGGTGAGAACGCAGGTGCGGGGGTCTGTGAGGGTCTGCCACGACAGACACGGCGTTCGAGGGACAGCCAGGACCTCTTGCTCCTTCTCTTGCTCGCCAACCTAGTCGCCCACCTGCCGTGCGTCCAGGAGGCCCGCCATCTCGGAGGGGTCGAGCCTCTCTCGCCGCAGCGACGCGCGGACGGACCAGAAAAAGACGATCGTCCGCATGATGATGCGTTCGCGCCGGTTGGCGTCGGTCACCCACGCGGCTGCGAGGGACGCCAAGCTGCAGGGGGAGGGAGAGGGGAGAGGTGATCATCATGCCTCTCCGCTCGTGACTGGTCGGTGCAAGAGAGCAGACCTGCGCGACGCGTTGTTGAGTGAGCCAAGCAGTTTGCGCCCTTCCCACCAACGTTCGTAAGCTTGCTGGCACCGGAACGCCACCAGTAGGGCGAGGAAGGTGAGTATCGCGCTGTGCTCCGAGTCGTTGATGTAGAACTCGATCCCTCTGAAATCGTGCAGCAGCGACACAAGGAGAACCGCGCAAACATTGGCGAGCCAGAGGTAGAATGTCTGCCGTCGAAGCTCCATGGCGCGGTACGTGGTGATCGCCCATCCGGCGTTATCCCAGCCCGAGGCGGCCGCAGCACGGACAACAGCGTCACGCACCTAACAGCAGGTCAGATCATATACGAGAGTGGCACTTGCGCGCTGAGCGCGCTGAGTTGCACCTGGGCTCGAGAGCCCTGGTCCTCCATGCACGTCCACGGGTTCGTGCGTGCCATGCTGATTGCTCCGCGCGGCGGAACCGCACCTGTCTTCGCGTGCCTGCTACCGCAGCTGTGACCGCTGTCGGACGGTGTTTCGAAGCCGCCGCCGCTGTTCACGCTTCACAGGTAAGTGTATAAGCGGGGCAGCTGGGTGATACAGCTAATCCTTTGTGTTCACACCTGCAAGAGCAGGTGTGAACCGATTTCGGCCTTAGCCGTCGGTATGCCAATAGCGCGCTAGCCAAGTAGTACGCAGTTGGGTTCCGAGGGTGTCCCATCACAAGTTCGGCTGCCGACAGACAAGATTGTCCCTTAGTCGACAGCACCCGCCTTTGGACGGTGCTCTGACTAGCTTTGATAATATATTTTTTGTCTTTTTGGTTCGCATGGCTAGAGGTTGGCCTCCCACCGTTGTGAACATAGTCTGGCCCGAAGGAGCCGCTCGTCTCTTGTCCGGGCAAACTGTTCACTGTTCACATAAACGCCGCTGTTCACATAAATACGCACAACCCCGGGCCCCGAAATCGCACAGTGACAGTCAGACATGCAACACGGGGTCCCAGGGAAAGGCCGCTGTTTCACGCAAAACGTGTGTGGCTAGTGCCATTTCACTCTGACACGCTAATCTTGAAAACGTCTCCAACGGAGCTCCGTGTTGCTTCCAGCGCCCTCCCCCGCGCTCCCTGCGGCCCTAGCCGATGGTACTAGCATGGGAGGTCATCTGGCTACCGCGAGAGCGACCCAACTCGTCGACATCGTCCGATGATGGTGCCTCAAAGTCAGCCTTCGGAGGCTATCGTGGGGTCGAGCCGGCAGTAGCCGTGACATGTGGTTCCACCACCCCTCGTAGGCTTTGCCTCTGACCGCCACCATTCCCAGGCTGCCTAATGGGATGGAAAGGAAGGCTCGGCGAGCGTATAGAAGCGTGCTCGACCTCGTCGTGGCAACCTGCACGGCAGCGCTGGCGGGCGCGATGAGCGTCGTGCCACCTGACCCGAGACGGGTCGCAGGCGTCGCACCGAGCGCGTCGAGACCGTGTCCTGATGTGCTCTGCACGGGTGAGTCACGTCGGCGTCAAAGGAGCGACGTGCGACCTGTCAGAGCTTGATCTCCGATCTCAGCGGCGTCGAGCGTCGTCTCCGGCGGCGACAATTTTGTCCCTCCCCAGGACGCGCAGAGGCAGCTGAGATCGGAGATCAAGCTCTGACAGGTCGCACGTCGCTCCTTTGACGCCGACGTGACTCACCCGTGCAGAGCACATCAGGACACGGTCTCGACGCGCTCGGTGCGACGCCTGCGACCAGTATCGGGTCAGGTGGAACGAAGCCTTTCGCGTGTGCACGAGCTGCAGTATCAATTCATGCTAGAGGCTCATGGCCGGGCTCGAGACAGACCTCTGGAGTCGAGTAACTCACCTCTTCCCGGCGGTGAGCTCGAGCCCACGCGGCAGGGTTCTCTGGGCCGTGCCTGCTCATATGCTCCAGCCGCACCTTGCGCGACGTCTCCGCCACGGCTGCCAGGGCCTCCTTTCGCCGCTGCACCTCCTGCACCTGCGCGGCATCAGCTTCC